AGAGAAGAACTTAATCACTCACTGTGATTCATATAAACTTTATTCTTGGGGGACGTACTTGAGGCATATTTGAAATGATACACTTTAGATTTGGAGTAATAAGTTGATAGCATGCGGAGGAGTTAAGGGGCCATCCTGTCCTTCTATTTAAGAAGCCCGGGAGATGGAAAATGAAACTGACTGTTAAATTATTATATGTGTGTGCTCATTCAGTCTGGCTACAGAGGTGGATATCCAAGGATTACCTCAGAGATTCTTTACTTTCATAGCAATTCAAAAAGGCACACTGGCCCTCTCGATCAATGATGTATTCTTTATCGTAGCGTTTGAGAATGCTCATAAATTATTTAATGAAGGTTTGGGCTCAAAAGAGATGGTGCTTGTTCATAGTGTGAAGGAGTGTGAGTGAGCATGGTTTGTGCCAGAGAATGGAAGTAGGTTTAGGCATTTGCGTGATAAATATGAAAGATGGCAGATTGGTGTCACTCCTCCAGGATGCTTCAAGGTAAAGCAGGATTTCTATTTGATACATGAGTGATCTGAGAATAATTTAACAATTGGAGCAGGACAGGGTAATCCATTTTGGGAAAAGGGTCAGTAATGGTTAAAAAAATATTGGAATCTTTCCTCCTGAGCCTGGACAATCATGGAGGTGAAAATAAAAACCTGAAAGAAAGTAAAAGTAAACTTCAGTAAAGTTGCTGTTGTGGGGGAATGCTGCGTGAGCTGAACAGTCAAACTAAATTTCAGCAATGGAGAAACAAAGGGTGGAGTTTAAAACGATCTGAGAGATGACTGAGCTGAACCTGTCTGAGCAGGACAGTGGAAATGAGGCAGCAGTGAGTATCCTCCAGGCTCAATCTTAACTATAACTTCATAACAACTCTACAGCATATCCATCATAAGACCTAAGAAATAATAATTTAACAAAAACTTTTGGACATGATTTCATTTATTAGACAGACCATATTAGATGCACCCACTAATAGTGCTATTATGGCAATTAGAATTAAAAAGCCTAACTGTGCTTTAAGGCCCACTATAGAATCCATCAGATATATAATAATGTAATTTTTATACACAACTGATGTTATGTTATGTTATGTTATGTTATTGCTTTCAACAGCTCATTTAAAATCAACTTTAAGGTAAGCTCATACTCTTTATGATCAGTAATGCTGGCTGGAGTTTGAGAAACTGTCAAATCAAACATCGATTACTATATAACTTCTATACAGGGGATATATTGTATTGAGAGAGGTGTCAGCCACAACAAGTGTTCTGTGTGGTGTGAATCTTTACAGCAGCAGGGACACCTTCTGAAAGCAGCTGTCATCTCCCCTAAAGTGCGATTTTAAATTAAGCTTTGGCCACCTCACCTATTGTTAGTGCACAGTGTTTTCTTTCATGATTTTCTCTGTCTGCAAACAGGGTAGAGTCACAGTGCACTTTGCTCATCTATAAAAACCCAGAGCATTAAAAAAAAGTGGGGTATAGAAATGTAAATGTAATGTCATAGCTATTTTCTCTTGAGATTGTATTTTTTGGTAAAACATAAGAATAAATCCTGAAGCCATAACTTGACAATGGGTGTGATATCCTCCTCCCATGAAACAAATGAACGTTGGCCGCTCCAGTTAGAAACCCTCAATATATTCAGAATGTGACACTTTTGGAATAGAAATGAGGCAGGTCCTGCATCTTTAGACTGCATTTTATTTTCGTAAGGTTTAAAACTGAATACATCCCCTCTGCTGTGGATAATATACATCCTGGAGGGTTTCTGTCTTTGCTGCTCAAAGTCTGAGTTTGCTGCTGGAAATCTGATCAAACTGGACTGTAATGTAATATTACCCAAGACCTATTACCTACACTGCCTCACTTCACTTCAAAGAAAAAAATAAGGGCTTTCATAGCACTACTGTAATCTATGTTATAATGTTGTTTCCATAGACTGTATAAAGAAGTGGACTAAGGGAGTGTTACATCACAGGTGACTATATCATCATATATCATTCAAAATAATACAGTATTTTAATTGGTTTGTCTAATAGTTGTCTGTTACATTGTAGTTATACGATACAGAGACACACTGGGACATCTGTATTCACTGAGCACAGTTTTCATTATCTGCACTGGTAAGGATCTTTCTGTGTTGTAATAGAAGGTTTCTTCCTTTGAGCATTTACCCCCAAACTAACAGATTGAAGTGTAGGTCAAGGATATCAGTGCTTTGATAGAAACCTGTCTCATACCACACACAGGAGATCAACTCACAGACCTCCCTTATATTCCCTCTCCTGTCACCAGTTCACACATATACAATAAATGCTCTGTGGTCCAAAGTATTAAGCTCAGAGAAGCCCCAAGGATTTTTAGTGCTGGCTCTATAAATCACACAGTGTGAACCCCCGGCTAACAGATAACCAGACATTGCAGCATTACAGCACTACTAATGGGTCGGCAGGTTAGCAGAGATGAGGAAAAAACATTTTTATCTTTACCTTTGAGGGTACCTGATGTTCACATCAACTTCAAAAGAGGGCTGGGAATCACACGGTCCCTCATAATTTCCATACGATACACGATACATGGCTCTCTATTTGATATTATCACAATATAGAGATATATGAGATAATCAATTTATTGCACATGATATATTGCTGTTTCAAACACATTTTAGCAACAGTATTTCTTTGTTAAATCAGTGAAAAGATAATTTTATTATACTCATTAGAACTGTGAAAATGTCAAGTGTACTGCATAAACAAGTTTCCTTCCACTAAATTGTAAAATTAAAAAAAGATTAAAGATACCAAAAAAATACTCTTGAAGATAGATTTATACTGCAGTTCACTATAACAATATTGTATCACCACATTTAGTATAACCACCTTTTGATAATTGAATATTTTTGCACACCCCTACTTCAAAATGCAACATCCCTGCAGCTTGTTTCCCTTTCAACCACAACAAAGGGAAGTGTTTCTTTTAAAACTGAAATAATTTCTTTTATAATAATTTCTTACACACTGGGATAAGCACAGTGCAGCTTCCATCCCTAAATATAAGGTGCACAATATAACTTTTCTGGTGGGGCTATTGCTTTCTACAGAATACCAGTTTGTCACCATGGAGATGTTATTGCTTTGTAATAATGGAGCCATTATTCATTATTACAACACCTGGGGCACAGTTGGGGTTAGAGTTGTACACATATCACTTGTGTTCTGTGTCCACTATAAAATCAGGTCCTCTCCAAACATATATTGCCTGTGGGCTCTGTTTTGATACAGACCAAATCATTATGTGTTATCCTGTAAGATGAAAGGCTCATATAGAAGCTCTTCTGAGTAGTGTCTTTGAGCTTATTATTAGTGATCTCCAGAACAGGCTGTTCTTGTGTGACCTTTTCAGACCCTTTAAGAATCTCTCAGCTCCATCCATTGAGCTGCTGCTGAATCACATGACACATCCCACCTCTCCCCACCACCACATGAATAGATAATTTGTCGGTGCACGTTTTGCATTCTGTGTACTTTCTCCATCTGACAGGTTAAAATAGAAAAATTCTGTGGCACTTAATGCTCTACTGCAAATTTGTACAAACAATTAATGATCCACATATTACACATATTATTATGGATTAACCATTTCCCTCTGAACATTTTGTCCACAATAATTTAATACTGTATGATAAGTAATACAATATTGGTTACAGCAAGACCTCCCTGAAGGCATTAACCCTTTCTTGCAATGGTTAAGATTTATACTGCTCAGGCCAGGACATGAATCTGAGCTCTGAGGAGAATATTTTATTCCAAATACTGAATTGCAAAACATGAAAGAAAGTGTGTATAGTATATATAGTGTACAGTTATAAAAGTAGAGCTGATTTTTCAGATAATGAAGCAATGTGCTATCCACAGGTTTGTGGTTGATATAATCCTTTACCAATTATAAGGCTGCATGCATCAGTCTGAATTTTCACATAGTAGCCTAATGTTCTTACTATATACTCCATGAAGACCAGAAGGGAAACGTAAGAAAAAAGTCAGAGACCCGAGCTTCTATGGTGACACCATTATTCTACAGTATTGGTTAAACAAGTGAAAAGCATAAAGCTTTAACTTTGCATTATTCATTTAAAATTGTGTCACAGCGGCAAAAAAACATTTGGAGCTTTTCAGAAGAAAAAAGAGTAATCCTTGCTCAAAAGCAGGCATTTCATTAGCTGGACAGAGAAAATATAATTTTAAATGAAAATCAATTACAGAAAAACAAGCTGAGCAAGATTTCTGAGCAGTCTGAAGTTATAGTTCGTATGACTCATATGTGCAAATCAAATAGGCCTAGGCTGTCTTTATCTCACAGAAGATATCCATGGAGCACAGGAAGGTGACTAAGATAATGTGAAAATGAAGTATGCACGGTGTGTGTGTTGGACGGTATCTGTTTGTGAGGCAGAGCAGAGTTTTAGTGCCCTCTTGCGTTAATTTCAGGGAAATATAGTGCTCCCCTAGAGCTCAGTGAGAAGGACGCTCTAGTTATTTTGCTCACTGCACGTTAATTTAGGCTGGTTGTATTTTGTTTGATGTTTTGCTCACTCATTTAATAATAGGCAAATTCACTATAATAGGTCTGATATTGATGCATAACTCTATAAAAACTACTTTTTATAGTAACTAAATATATCGTTTCCCACAAAAAAGCGCCTGAAACTGAATACATAGTTCTAAATGATCAGTACTGAGAGCCTTTCATTGAGAACAAACGGTGAATGGGGTGAAGGCTGTAAGATACACAAGACTCTAATTCACCTGGCTAAAATCAGTGCAGATTATAAATCCGCTACTTTGCTAGCCCAAACATATCGCGATGTAAACTCCTTGAACATAAACGATTGTGACTGAACAGTGAATACAGAGGAGATTTGTGTGGACCGTCGCCAGTGCATCTTCGCCGACTGCAGCCGCGGAGCAGCGGTGGTGGCAGCGCGCCTGCGCAGAGCATCCAGGGCTCGGCGGTGTTCGGTGCTGAAGTGGGGCGGATGGCAGAAAAACAGCGGCGATGGACATTAAACCGCGGGATTACCATATACGATGTCGTTAAAGGAGCATCGGACCTGCACATTTCACCAGCTATCAGCCTAGGACACTGACAGGCCGCCGCAAAGGGGTAAGAGAGTGATTCTTGTGCTCCACAGAGCAGGCTAGCTGTCGTTAGCACAGCGCTAGCTTCTGCTCTGCCACCGCCTCCTCTCTGCTGCCACACATAACGGACCTGGGGCCGTGGAGCTTGAACCAACAAAGTGGGTGGTGTTTGATTTTGTGCAATGTGGCTACGACAGCGAGCGTCGAGCCGCCCTCTGTGCCCGGGTCTGACAGCGGAGAGGGAGTCTCCTCTCTCCTGCCGCTGTCTGCCCCCAGCTGCAGGACGGGCTAGCAGTGGACTAAGGGTCCGAGCAGCGGCTCCTGTTATGCTCAGAGGCCCCAGACACAGGCTGCGACACTGTAGTCCATCCATTAAGACTACATATGCACCTCTGTCCACTTTGACAGGCGGTGTAGCAGCGTGCGCGTACTGCTCACGGGTGGATCTGATGGTCATGTGTCTGCTGCCTCCCCTGGGCGTGAGTCACTGGAGCTTATGCCACTACATCCTGACAGACTTCCTCATTCGATTGATTCAGCCATTCACACTCAGCACAGACATAATGTTTGCTGTGTAGAACTGTCACTTGGAGGAGATTTATAGCATGTTAATAAAGGCTTGTTATACATACATTAGTAATATATAATTTTAATTATTTGGTACAGCTTTCTTCTTTAGATATAGACCCCCTTTTCTGTGCAATAGTGTATGCGAGACAGTAATGTACTAAAGTAAATAGGTAATATATGACCCATTCCCTATAACCTGAAAGACAGATCTTAGTAACATGTCAAGTTTCATACTATTGCACATCCTTAAGATCAGACAAGAAAATGGCTTTTACTGTAGAAACTTTTCTTGTTAATGTGCCACAAAAGTTAACTGATCTTTATTATGTCGATGTAATAGAACCACTGATCTCGGTGTGTCCTAAAACACATTTGATCTTCTTGATTTCCAGATGCTGTTTTTTCACTGCCCCATCTGTAAATGACCCATTCTCCAAGTTATAAAGAAGTTTAGGAAGAAACGGTTGAAGCAACCACCAGAGTCACGGAACAAGACGACAAAAAGAGAAATGGTTGTTGTTCAGTCCAGCTCTTGAGTCTTACTGAAGTCTGTCAGGGATGGTGAATCCAAGCAGTAACCTCTCTTCTCTGTGGTCCAGCCAACCTCATTGCTACATTTACAGCCAGTGTCAGAGCCATCAGTCACTTCAGCCAGCCCTCTATCATCCAGCAACAAGTTACCTCAGCGCCATGACTGCTTTGTCTCAGCTGGTTTTAGAAAATAACTAATTCATGGTAAGTTTACAATATGTTGAAAAATTGCAACCTTTTCGAAAGCTAGGTCAGGCACATTTACACTTACACAATGATTTTATGATTTTGTTCAGTGTCTGAATCTTCTCACTTCAGCACCAACCACAATCAGCCATGTGTTGTGTTTGTCTCTACTCCTGCCCTTTTCTAGTTCCTCTTCACATTTGTATGTCCTGGTTGTGTGGCCTCCATCTCGACATTTGGGACAGGTGTTGTTTGCATCTCCTAAACCTGTTTCTCGACATCTACTGGCAGGACACTACATAACTGAAAGTTGCTCCATCTCTGTGGCAAAATATTTGCATATGAGTCAGTACAACAGAAGCTTTACATTTAGGAAGACCAAACACAAGTTGGTCTGAAAGGATTAAAAGGATGTGCTATTTTGTTGCTCTGTGCTGATTTTCTTATAGTGAGCCATGGCTTTACAGGTAAGACTGTTGTAATTTTCTTTGAGCTATGGTCTAGTAATGCATTACACTGTGGGAGGATAAAGATCCCTGAAAGAGCAGTCAGAGTTTACAATAACGGCTCAGTCTACCTCCATGGCCTTTTAGCTCACGAGCAGCACATTTTCTTTTCCCCAGTACAGGCTGTTAACAGTACATACACACAGGTTCTTCACTGAGTTCTAAGAAGATGATTTCCTTTTATTTACACTAGCCTAAAGGACTTTCAGTTCCACTGTATTATCATTTAGAAGCCGCTTTTTGATGTTAAAGTATTTACTCTTGATCTACCTTGGCACATTTCCATACCTAAACACATTCACCTTCAAAGTCTGTAAAGGCCATGGAAACCCCATGGTGACATCATAGTGGCAGGCTTACATTAATTGACACAGCATCTTATACACCCAACTGAAAAAGCTATATTTCCATAACCTTACTTTTAAAAGAGTTGTTATAATATGTATAGATTTTTCTTTTTAAATATAATTCAAGTTCAGATGTGCAATTTTTTTTATGTGGATTTCCATTTGGCCATCTCCATTTCCTTTTTCCTTATTATTTCTAGTTAAACAGGAAGACCTGAAATGAGCAGCAGTGTACAGTTAACAATTTGTCAGAACATTAAAACAAACATTTTATTGATACTAATATCATAAGACTGTCATTTCGTCATCTGCGTTTGTTTTGTAATTTCTATTTGATAATTCCACACATTTATTTCTTTTTTTTTTTGATGATGATGATTTTGTTAAATTCTAAAGTATTTAATATAATCAACATTTTTGTGTATAACTTCAACTCTAAATTGAACCGAAAATTGGTTGGATAATGAGGACAACATGCATGTGTGTGGATGTGTGAATTTGTTTATAAGTGGTGCCTTTGTGTCTATTCATGTCTGTCATGCACAGAGCCTGTTTGTTTGTGTGTGTTTGCAGCCCTTGAAATGCATGTGCAGTGTGCTCAGTCTGTTAAAGCCAAGTGAAAACTCTGGACCACTGCCAAAAACCTTCACACCGTACAAGGAAGGGAATCCTCTCTATCCTGCTTGAGTGCGCTCCCTCCCCCTTGCTCCAAAACAATCATTTTGGCAATTTTTTTACACACTTCATTCTCCTGCTATTAATACACAGAAAATAAATGGATCCCAGTGTGACATTTAACTTTTCCAAAAATCTCCACACTTAAAGGTACACAGTATAGCTTTTTGGTTTGGGATTCATCACCTGCTTGTTGCTGTAAATAAGTTTTTGCTCTGCCTGGAATGTTCCACAGTATGACATTAAACATCTCTACCTTACTTTCAATTACAGATGGTTTTATATCTCAATAATAGATCCACAGATCTGACCTGTAACTTGGTCTGGTTTGGTTTCCATGATGATAAAAAGGTTTGTAACCATAATGTGAAACTTTCCAGATGAAGCAATAACATCTCCATGAAGAAAAGCTTTTGACGGACCCTCCACCAGAAAAGTTACACAATGATCCTTTAATGTTTTGTTTAATTTTGTCCCCATTTTGCTAAGTATCATGTTTGTGTCCCTAGCCCCGCAGTGTGAGTGGAGTGGAGATGAGAAAAAGGCAGGCGGCACACATCGAGGCTCCAGCCCAGGCCCCCGGACAGCCACGACCCAACACCTGTTGCCTGTGCTGGTGCGGCTGCTGCAAGTGTCTGTGGTGAGAACTCACATCTGCATTCTGTCCACAAACCACCTTTGCATGGCACTCTGCATTGTACTGTCACACGGAAACTTAGACTAGCAGATATTCACGAGATTTTGAAAGATATCAAAGGAACAATCAGCTGTTCTGCTCTAAAAAAACAACCATGTGCATTAAAGGTGCAATGTGTAACTTTTGTGGCGGAGAATCCATTATTGCTGTGGTTCGACTGGATGGCATTAAAGTAATCTCTCTTGCATTGATTTTATTACTAGTGTTTTATTGCTCAGAAACCTTACTTACATACTTGTTTTTATTGAGATAGATACATTTAATGCCATACTGTCGAATATCTAAATGAAGACAAGTCAATGTCAGATCCTCCATGAGAAAAGTTATATAGTGCTCTTTTAACATTTGTCATTGAAATTCATACATTTTAGTGATTTTGTTTGAACCCTTACTGTAATGAGAGTGAGATATAAAATGTCCAATTTAATTTTATTTAAAAGTGAATAAATATGACTCTAATTACTGTACTAGTTATAGTAGTTTGTTATTAGTTATTTAGATTTAAGCCTAAACTCCAAAAAATATGCTTTTACTGACAGCTGATTTGTTTTAACATTTGAATCATGCACTGCTCTCTTGGATCCTGTGCAGCTATGGGACAGTGTGAGCAGCAGAGCCTTACTCGCAGAATTGTCCCCAGAGCTCAGACTGTGCTCTGTCCCTCTGCACACAGCCACTGTAGAGGAGCATCTGTGCTCAGAAATACTGTCCATGGGGAACTCTGTGTAATTTACTTGTGCTTCTCACTCTGTGCAGTCCTTTCAGCAGTACATGTTCACTTCCACTGTATAACTGACCTGGGCTTGTCAATATACAAAGTAAAGAATTTACACAGACAGATTATTTTTTCTTATGGCCTCAAGTCTATATTGGATAGAACAGCTGTAGTGTGAAAAGGGGAGAAAAAGAGTGAACCCATGGTAGTATCAACCACACATGTGCAACGCCCTTAACCACTACACCACTGGCATGCACACACAGCCAGTTCATTTAGGAATAAATTGTGATTTTTTTGTTGATACTTGTAGATTGTGTGAAAAGTGTTTTTATACAAATGAGAAGGAAGGCTGAAAAGTCACACTGTCTGAGACCCTTGAGCAAGGCACTAAAAACAACATGCCCTGTGCAGCTCATCCAGCCGCCTCTCTCTTTAGCTGCTCCTGAGTGAGGAGTGAAAGAAAACATTGTTTTCACTGGTGAATGGTGAATGTGCCTCTTCTTTCACACTACTTAATCTGAAGTGGTGGCAGCTTGTGGACTGAACATGGAGTGAGTGGTCTGTGACGCTGCAATAAAAAGAACAGCTTGAGAATTAGCTTGTAAATAAATTTTGTTTATTTATGTTTCCTGCCATCATAAAACTCTGACTGAATAATCTGTCACTTACTGTAAACTTTCTTTCAGTTACACTGAGTGTAATGTAATAGTCTGCATGCTTAATTAGTCTGGGGCAGATGTACATACATTCTAATTCGTGGTCGTTTTATGGAACAATGGTGTATGAGATCTAGAGCTGTTTAAGTGGAATTAATTTTAAACCCAGTTTTACTTTTCCTCTTTGTTACCTGTAATCTCTCCCTTCATACTCACTAACCTATCCTCATTCATTGGCCTTATCTGGTCTGGGAGCTTTCTATTTCCATCCTCACATCACATGCAAAACAGCTGTGAAGAACAGCCCGTATATTTAGCTGTATTGTGAGGGCGCCCAGGGGCTGGGGCTAGCTTAGCCCATTACTGGTGCACAATGGGGACTTTGACAAGAGACAGGGAGAGGAAGGAAAGATCCTCTATGGTGGGATAAAAATAGACAGTTTGATGTGTATAATATTGTGATTGGGCTTGTGTGACTGAAAGGCCACTGTGTACGCATTCGTTATGAGTTTACATGAAGCCTTTAACTGAACCTTTGTTGTTCACTTTGAATCTGAGGCGCTGTGACTCTAGTGTTTATTATATGAGGCAACAGGGTCATGCTGATAACCAGTGTGCTCAAGAACTCAAAAGGGAGCCATGCTTCAGAAGACAGTTCTATTAGGTACACTAATGGTTTGAGGCCATACATTGGACTGTAGTTGATATACTTTCTTTTCCCAAAAACCTTTGCATTACTATCATGTGATCATGTTTCATCTATCATACTGGGCTTAAAATGTTTTCAAACGTAAATTATGTATGTTTGCAGGAATGAAGACAGGATGGAAAGGAGTGAACGCCAAACCTGCAAAATGGACACTATTGAGGCTGGAGATGAACAGTAAGTTCCTCACAATTTAAAATACACTGGTCTTGCATTGTTGTATTCAGTGTCCTATCTTCAATTACAGACACCCCACTTTGGACGAGGTGCTGTCGTGGGCTCGGAGCTTTGAGCTGATGCTTCGATCTTTAGAAGGCCGAGAGGTGTTCCGTGAGTTCCTGCGCTCCGAGTACAGTGAGGACAACCTGCTCTTCTGGTTGGCCTGTGATGAGCTTAAGAGTGAAACCAATCCTACAGTGGTGGAAGAAAAGGCTAGGATCATATACGAAGATTATGTGTCCATATTGTCACCCAAAGAGGTAAAGTGATGTTTACTTTTAAAGGTGCATTGTGTAACTTTTCTGATGGAGGGTCCAATCAAATGCTTTACTTCATGGAGATGTTATGTCTGGAATGTTTCACAGTATGGTATTAAACCTTTCTACCCTCCACCAAAAAAGCTATACATGATGCACCTTTATGTAAAGTTTTGGATAACCTAGCTAGAATGCTTGCATTATAATTCAATATGGATCTTCTTTTGTTCTTGAGACATTGTATTTTGATGAAGCCACAAACTGTGCCTGTGTCCTCAGGTGAGTCTGGACTCTCGGGTCAGAGAAGGAATCAATCAGAGTCTAGCAGAGCCCAGTAACCTGATGTACGAAGAGGCCCAGCTGCAGATCTACACCTTGATGCACCGCGACTCCTACCCCCGCTTCCTCAACTCCTCCGTTTACAGAGACCTCCTGGCCAGCAGGAGGCGCACTTGCCTCGACACCTAAGCACTCCTCTATTGCCATCCTATACCAACGATACTACTACTTAAACTTCAAATACTACTATGGTGCCAGAAGTCGGGTTTGAAAAAATCTTTACCTGGTTTGTGGTTGAAGAGACTGTATGACATCCAAAATAGCTGGTTGTTTTTTTAATTTATATTTTTAAGCAATTTATATCCAGTTCTCTGCTGGAATTTAAGTTGGCCTTAGCTGGTTGATTATTGGACAAATTATGGCTCTAATGCTGGCCAGTGATTGTGTAGCTAAGAGTTTGTGGTTTGGGGTGGCTGACTGGCCAGGCCGCTTCTCAGCATGTGTTTGAAATGGCCAACCACATGGCCAGCGGTGGGTAACTGGATAAGAAGCTAGACAAAGAAAGAGACACATAAGGACAAGCCAACTGTTCCTGTACTGTAATCCTGTATTAAGACCTTATCTTTTTTATCCTGACTCCATGTCTTCACTGATCATTGTTTCATACTTTTATCTTTTCTTTTATCACTTGTGGAAGTTAGGGCTTTACTGGGAAGCACTGGCTTTGCATGCAGCTCTTTTTCTCTACAGTAATTTGACTAAATCTGCCATGGACTGCAACAGTTGAATATGTAATGATTTGGACAGGCTACCTGTCTCTTCTTCAGACTGTTTACTTTCAGTGAAGGGAAAATACTTGCCAATTGAAGCTTAAGCTGGAGTATAGCCTCTGAAACTGTGGCAAAGACGCAGGCTGCCCATGTCCTTCCACCTGTGCATCCGTCTGTCCATCCGTCCGTCCAAACACTTTTCCTTTTTTAACATTACTGGGAGAAGTAAGGGCTATTGTGGTTGGGCAGCTACATGTACTAGTAACTCTCATGAACTTAAAAATGCCTTCAGATCTAAGGAAAGAGTTATGTGAAAAGCAACCACAGTTTGTCCATCAAATCCTGCCCTACCATCCCTTACCTGTTAACCCTCCTTCTCAAATTCAGGCCATCCTAGCCTAAGCACAGGTGCCCAGTGGAAGGAGCCACACCCACTTTGATTACAAATCCTTCTGTACATTTTCAGTAGAGAAGACAAGTTTACATTTTAGTATTTTATTACTACTGGGCTAAGGACAGATTGGTTTTGAATGGGTAAAAACACCCATGCTATCGTCTGTAAGGCGTTTCTAAAACAGCTGATGGTGGTGGTCTTATGTGACACTTCAGGTTAACCAGGTGCCAAACATGATGTCATGAAGCAGGGAGACCTTAGATGTGACCTTTAGAAAGACCACTTTGGGCTGTTGTCTGTTTTGGTCACAGACTAGAAAAGTATAGTGGTTATTGGTGGAGTCTTTTAGTGCTAGTGAGGGGAGTCTGCAAATTAATGCTAACAAGCTAATGGACTAGCCTAGAGGTAGTTGTAACACATTAGCCTTATTGTACAAGGCTACCTAGGTTTCAGCATGCAGTAGACAAGCAGTTAGCATGCTTGTGCTAGCCATGCTAATCCTTCATCCCACAGCCAGCCATTACACACTCTGGATTGTTTCATCCAAATTTGCCAGCATGCTATGATAATAAATTTATCAATGTATGATACAGTTACACACCTAACAGAAAAAAGTAAAAACTAAAGAAACAAAAAAGATATAAAAAGGAGCCTTGCCAAATGTCCCATTAACAGTTTAGTTTTTGATGATGTGAACTTTGTTCTTGGCCTGTGGATGTGCAGTAGAAAGTGCATGAGTGCAGTATATGCTATTTTAACTGGGTCTCCAGATACACCATGGTGTTACATGATGGGCTGACAACCCAAGGTTTAGTTGGTTGGTATAAAACAGTGCCACTTCTCACTTTAGTAGCTACCTGAAATCTATGTGCCAAGTATCTGATACAATTAAAGAGAAAACCCTTGCACAATATCCAAGAATAGTTGGGTCTCTTGAAGTTGTGCTAAAATTTCAATCAAAACATAGTTTATTAAGTTCAGATCTTTTCTGATTGACTTACAACTTCTGGTTTGGAATCAGAAATGTGTTCATTTTTGCCAATCACAGTTCAAGGGTAAATTCTCCTTTTTACTGAACTTTTGAAGTTTTGACATATTAGTTTTGGTTGTGTGTCAAGTTTTAGAGCCAACCAAACTTTCTGATTTGTGGTTGTATTAAAATAAATTGTTTGTACTTTAATATTTGGCAATACAGTACTACTTACAGAGGACTACATTAATATTTAAGGGCTTGACTGAGTGCTTAGCTGCTTTATTGAAGAGCTGTGCATGCCTGCCCTGTGGGGAAGCAGAGGTTATAACCTGATTCCTTCTCTCTTTTGGAACTGTTCCACGTTTTTGGGGGGGAAAAAATGTAAAATCTGACTTGGTAAAGAAATGCCAAAATGTCACTTATAACTAACAAACAAATCCCCCTCTACACAGTTCTGTCTCCTTCTTACCAAGTCTGCCGCTGTTCAGAAGAATGTTTTACCTACAAACCGATAGATACTGAAATCATGGTGCAATTAAACATGTTTACATGTATACATAGTGAAGTGTGTGCTTTACCAGTACTAAGGGTCAAAGGTCAACTGTCGCTGTGCACTCAAGTCTGGATGTGTCTTACAACCATGACTTGGATAGCAGAAACCTAGATTTATGCTTTTTGTCATTCTCACCTTATTTGTTATGACATAAATACAGTGTATATATATATATATATATATATATATATATATATATATATATATATATACATACACATAAATGTTGTTTATCTAAACAACATTTCAAATAAATATTTTACAAGCAATGAAGATTATACTAAGTGATATAGTATGTTTACGGCCTCTCCCTTGTGTCTTTATATTTCCAAGGGTTCCAAGTGAGCAGGATTTCAAACAAGGCTGATCTTTTCTCAACCAATAAAGGAGATCTGTTTCATTAAGGCAGACGAGGTTGGTAAAGATTTGGCCTTATTGACACCTTTCATTTCTCTTTTAATACAAACAAATACAGTATACATACTTGTATATATATATATGTATATATATATATATATATATATATATATATATATATATATATATATATATATATATATATATATATATATATATATATATAAAGCGTCTTTGTAGGCTTTTCACTACCTCTCATGTTGGTTAATTTATTTCACCTCTTATTGTTAATGTACGAGTTGTTTTAGATCTACTTGAAGCCTAACACTGTAAACAAAATGTGCACAGAAACATGTATTGAAAAGGGGTTGAAGAGCTTGGCCTAGTGGACATTATTGTTATTATCTTATGTTTGTATGTTTGTTTTAGATTTTATTGAGCTGAAATAGATTTGACATCTCTATAAAGAATTCAGGAAATCCACTGTCTAAGGGCTAATCCCATTTTGCCTATGCAAATCTGTTAACTGTGGCTGAGTTGAGAAAGAGGCAAGCTCGCGCCTCTTTCCCTTGTTGTAGATGGACCATGGTTTACTTTGCCCTTTGCTGATATTCTTCAATCCTGTTTGGCAAAAATGATGATATATAATGACAAGTAATATACAGAGAAAATGGCATATAGCTAAAAGAAACCTTGCTGAAAACAAATAAATGTGTTGTCTGACAATATGTGGCTGTGTGCTGGAGTCTTGGTGAGACTGGAAACAAGCAGGCTACTAATGGTAGCTCACTCTGTGCAGTATTTCTATTTCTGAGGGAAAACTGTTTAACATACAGTGCTGTGCCAACATTTAAAGGTGCATTGTGTAACTTTTCTGGTGAAGGCCCTGTCAAATGCTTTATTCCATTCAGATGTTATTGCTTTGTCTGGAATGTTTCACAATATGGTGTTAAACTTTTCTATCTTCATAGAGACCAAACCAGACCAAGTTACAGGTCAGATCTGTGGAGAGGCAGCCTAGCTCACAGTCAGAATGCCTGCTTTTTTTTTTTTTTAGGTATTTTTGAGCTATAAAACAGTAATGTGTAATTTAATAAATGTAAGAGCAGTTTAATGTCAGACTGTGGAACATTCCAGTTAGAGCAATGACATATCCATAGAAACAAGCAGATGACGAATCCCCAACCAAAAAATTACACAATGCACCTTTAAAACGAGAGACAAAGAGATTACATTATATTATTCTGTAAATGCTGCTATGAAAATTGCATGTGGGCAAAATCATGTTTCTAGATCATGTTAATATCTAGTGAAAGACATCTCACCATTTTTACATATTGAAGATCAATGTTAAAATACAGAAAATGCCGAACTTGGCAACTTTTTTATTCTGACCAGAACCAGCTGAGGTCAGGTCCCTTCGTAAAGTAAACTCTTTTTTACTATTCTTTCTGTGAAGCTGAATTAAGACAGTGGCACAGTACTGTATAACCTATCCATTCACAATTTCACAGTCTTTTCCATCCTTTTAGTGGTACTGGGGCAAACCTGGAAAACAAACTGAAAGGTCCTCTGCCTTTTTGGGATGTGCACTGTTTGTTAAGTAACATACCATTCTCTGGCTGGAAGATGCACAGTGTTGTCGTGAATTTGTCTAAATGAGTACAGCATGGTATCATCCCCAGTGTTTTCCATCCTGTTTGACTCTTTTTTTTTTTTTTTTTTTGTAGCCACATCTTACAAAAGATGATCACTGTGTTATTTGCAGTAGCGTTGGTGTGCATCAGCAGAAGTGGGTTTCCTCTTTTTTATTTGTCCACTAATGCAATGATGTTAGAGACACAAAAGACATAAATGACCATTTTAACTTAGCTCAATGGCCAATTTAAGGTTTGACGCTGAGTCTTTATTTAGGTCTGTAAAGGTCTTGTTTTTTAAAACTTTGTACAGATGTTTTAATTCCACATCTGGAATGGGAAAAATTGTTCATGTGTCCTCCCAGTGCATTGTGGGCAGTGATAACTCTTATAAGTTAATAGTTTGGCAGAGTGTTCCCTCAGATGGATTTGGTGCCTCTTTTCACTTCACGACCGACCTCAACTTTTTCAAAAGCTTTTTCAAAGTCTTTCTCACTTCCTTCCTCTCAGTGTCATCACACACACAACAGTTTAAGTGCAAAGACAACAGCGCCATGTGTAACAGCAAAAATCACACTTTGTTTCAACATTGTTATCTTTGCTGGGGTCTTTGTGATACTTTGGGAAGAAGATATTTTTCGAAGCTGGTGAAACTGAAAAAAATAATTCTCCAGATTTTAGGCAATCACTTTTCTCTTTATTGATTTCGATGCCTAAGCCTCTTGGTTCTGTCATGCCTTTGTAGATAGATAGTTGTCCTAAAAGTGACCCGCTGGTGAAAAGAACTTTACTGTCACTCAAGTCATTGAATAGTGACATTTTTCTATTCAGCATGCTTTTTGCTAAATAAATGAAATAATTCAGTTATTTGCTATAAACGATACTGTATGAGTATGTATTCAAGTACTGCAGTATGCAGACTATTAAAACACCAGAAACTCTTTTGAGAGCTTCACTGTTGTATGTTTCAGAAAATATTTGTTTTTCATTTTCTGTTTAACATCTGTCATCATTTCAGTGACCCCCTAAAACAATAGTTAATTTAACATTAACACGTTCCTCTATGGTGTTTAAAAGCATATTGTTGATAATATATTATCTTCCACAACTACAGTTAAAAAGTGTGATTTTATTAAAATATTACATCAGTGTACTATGAAATCGCAAAAAGAGGGGAAAAAAGACCAAGCATTGGCTAATTCTGGCTTTTTGGGAGCCCTATGCATGATCCTCTTTGGGGTACCTACATTGCCAGTGGTAGAATACCACAGTCATTCAAACAGGATTTTAAGGACGTGACAGTAACATAAGCTCACAGAGAGATGGCCCTGCTCACAGCAGAAGTGCCATGGTCCTGAATTGGCTCTAATGAATCATTTCTTCAACAGTCTGTAGCAGCAAGAGCTTACTGAGGCTCTGGTTTGACATGTTGACATGATTAATAATTGTATTGTCTCATGCAGCTTTGTACTTGAGAAACATTCACACAAAATTGTAATTTCATACATTTCAAAAGTATGTCAGTTCAAATATGTTGCCTTTGTTTCAGATTAGCCATACACACTGCAGATAAACGTGTGTGGAGTTAACTGAATTAGAAAATAACACAAGAACATAACACAAGAACAATTTTGTGCCAAACATATATAGGGTTAAAGGTTATTAGATTTGTGTTGTGTTTACTGTTAAAGGTCATCTACAACCATTATCACAGTTACACAATGTAAAACTAGCACTGATATTTTTGATCAACTGAAATTATGACTGTCACAAATGCTGTTCACGATTTTATCATGTACTGTTTTTAATTTATTTTAATCTAAGGGTAGTGTTAGCCCTTCAGTTCTGTCCATGCACATTTCAGAAGACAGCCCTGTGACTTCAGGCAGTACACGGTCACGCCATGTTCACTTGTATTTTGTCTGTTTACATTACGACCACATTTTGCATTAACAGAGAAACTCCATATATGTTAACTGCCCTTGAATATCTGTAATAAAAATAGTGCTGCTAGAGAAAGAAATCTAACTGTAACATCTTACAATAAATACTTATTAGATTTTTCCCAGATGTGACTGTGTCTTCATTTTGTTTTCAATTGGAATAGTGCCCACTATGTTACTAATACAATTACATTATGCTTTTAGTAAAGAGACCATATTAGGCTATTTTCTGATCTGTTATAATGTTGTTTCCTCATCAGAAACATACCTGAAGTTCTGTTTAGTTTCATTCACACGTATAACATACAAACCCTGTATATTTAGATTCTCAAGTCCTGCTCTCAAACAAAAAACACTCTGTTCCACTTTGTGAAGTCATGTGGAAGTGTTCCACTGTGTTCTGTACTCCATACACTTTCACTAAAATCATTTGGATGATTTCAACCCTGGATTTGATGCTCTCTACTGAGCAAAAGGTAAAAAGTAGGTGCTAACTTGAAAACTACCACTTCATGACATCACAAAGTGGAAAAGAGCATTTTGAGCTATGGAGATGTAGTCAGACCAGTAACAAAGGATTACTCAAACGTGAAAATATCTTTAACCCAGAGGCTCTGAAAAAATTGTATCTAAACATAAGATGTGGAGGAATACTTTTATAATAGCATGTTGAAAGATGCACTGTGTAACTTGTTATTGTATGTTATTGTAATAGGTCAGGTCTGTGGAGATGGGGAGACCATTCACAGTAAGAATACATACTTATTCTTTGGCAAGTAAAACACCAGTTAAATGACTGCAAATGCGATACTAGTGACTTTCCTGGCAAAACAATAGCATCTCCACAGAAACAAGCAGGTGGCAGAACCTCCAATGGAAAAGCGCACCTACAAAAGTGAAATGTGTAAAGGTTAAATTTTTTTTTTTTTTCATTTTTTCCCCAAATTTTGAAGTTTTATATAATAAAATAAAATAAAAAAATAAAAAACTCTCTCCACACTACAAAAAGTGGTGGTTCTTAAAACAACAAATAGACAATTTCAGAAAAGTTTCTCTTAAAAACATATTTATTCCATCATCAATATTTCCATTCTGCTTTGACTTTACATTCAGAGCCTGGGCACAACCACATGCAGAGGACAGATACCATTTCGTCCTCTCATCATATCTCATAATACCATGTGGGTTTTTTATTTGCAGTCTTTTCTGTTTATAGGCATTAGTTTGGGCACTGTGAGTGGTTTAGTTATTTCCTTCAGTCAGTTTTTTGATCTGCTATAGGCTCTGGGACAGTTGAGGCAGACTCGGACTCTTCCTGGGTCTTGTCCAATCCTGGAGCTCCGTCTCGGTCACCTGACTGTGAGGCGTCTTTCACACAAACTGCAGTATTTGAAGAGGAGGCATCTATACTCTCATATGGCTCAGATGTCCACTAAAATCAAACAAAAACATCATCAATTTTGGTATAATATATTATGAGGAGCCAAGTATTATATATTTTTAATCAATAAATATGTAAAAAGTGTGGATTGATATGTTTATTTTTTTTAATGTTGCCAAATAACTTGAATGAATAGCCAAATTTTTATATTTCTGGTGTATATTTGATTTTGTATTTACCATCTACCATTTAATGTTAACTCAATAGAGATTTTAAGTTGTTACTTTAGCTTTGACACTATAATGAGATCAATGTATTCATCCCGCAGGTAATGGTGTGCATCCGTGGCTCTTTATTGAATACATCTCTATGGACATTTTACCAGCTTACAACAAATATGGAAACAACCATCTGGTGATGTTGTGTCCTTAGGCAAGACATATTGCCTAGTAAAGCCATGCTGTGATCGTGTTAATGGTGGTCAGAGGGGCCGAAAGCACAGATTGGCAGCCTCATTATCATTAGTCTGCCCCAGGACATCTGTGGCTAAAACAGCATCTTGCCACCATCGATTGTGAATGAATAATGCACTGTAGTGCTTTGGCGGTCTTGAAAGTCGCTATAAAAATCCAGTGATTAACCAATTAGTTAATTACAATTTTGGGCAATAGCATTTGATTTATAACATTCAATCCCAATCTTTTTAGGTGCCTTTCATATGTTATACTCCCAAATGGTTTTTTTTTTCATATTTCTTAAATTGGAATTTATAAGAAATATTCAAAAAGAAAATCCACAAATTTGTTTGTTCATATTAGTGACTACAAGGTCCTTGAATTTACTGCATTATAGTAAATATTATTTGCCCACCTATAAGAATTCTAGTTGTACCTGTGTAGCGCGGCTGCTGGAGCGGTGTGAGGGTCCAGTGAGGGCGATGTTGACACTGGATGATGACTGAGTATCTGTGGTGTTTCCCCCTTCAGCTGCAGACAGGCCAGAGATAACCAGCCCACTGGAGAAACTCCTCTTGCCAAACAGAAGGCTCAGGGTGGACGAGGATGATGAGACCTGGAGCATGCACAAAATGGTAAAAACAATAAAAAAAACATACATAGTTCAATGTTTCCCAAACTGTAGTATTGCACATGGTCTGCCTCTGTGTTTATGTAAAGACAAATCTTTAATCATTATTTAGAACTACATTATCATGATTTAGGAATGTTTTACATGATTTAGTCTTATTTAAACCTGGTTTAGTTTTATATTCAGCTCTAATTTAGGCCTGATATAGTTTGGGTTTAGACCTAGTGGTACTCAGAAAGTCAAATATTGTCTTAGGCACAAAAATAAACAAATTTTAAAGAGATGCCTGTAAATGTCATAGGCAGTAAAATATGAGTATAGGTATATTTCTACTTTTTCGGAGGAGAAATTTAATTTATTAACTGGACAACGGTTTGTTGATAGAATATGTTTCGCAGCTCATCCAAGCTGCTTCTTCAGTCCTGGTCAGGTTGCTGGAGGATGAACTGCGAAACATATTTGATCAAAAAACTTTTGTCCAGTTGACAAATTGAATTTCTCCTTTGCCATGACATTTACATTTTTTTTATTTTGTATTATTATTATTATTGTTGCACTAATGATTACAATAGGATTTTTATCTCCCACTCCAATAATAATAATGTAATGCTAGTTAAAGTATATTCACCTGACTGGAGCGCTGCTGCTGTTGTGTGGCCTGTAGCTGTGAACTGATCCCACCTGCCCCCGAGAGACGAGGGACCTGAATAAACAGAAAACCCAATGTTATTACAATAGTTTCTATTGTAATTAAAAGGGCTTAAAGCTGTTTGTACCTGTGAGAATATTGAGGCAATAGAAGTGTTAAAAGATAGCTGACTGTTGGACAGACGCTGCACCAGTCCGTGGGTGGAGCCTGTGTCCAAGATGGGTCCTGACTGGCTGGTGACAGGAGGGCGCTGGCTCTGAGGCTGCACTGAGCGACTCCGGTACTCTCTCCTGCCTACAACGATGAACACAAAAAACAAACTTCTGTGTAACTTTTCTAAGCTCTGCCAAATGCATATATATCTAAAGCATATAAAATGTCACTTACACTTTTTCATACAGTTCTTACTGTATGTGTTCAAAAATCCATTCTATTGTTTTGCAGCTTTTTTTTTTATTATTGTAATCAGTATCAAGTATCAGGTTTATTGATATATTTTAGTGACATCAAGCTGGGGATGTTCTACATGTACGTGTATTGGTGTAATGTTGACCAGTTACCATGGAGACAAAATGCACACATTAGCAAACAATGTCACAAACTGTTTTTGTTAGATTATCTGAAAATTTAAAAAAACCAACCACAATTTCAGGAGCCTGTGATCAATATGAGCATTCATGGTCCTCTTTAGGAGATTGATTTTTCAAAAAAGATGGTGAGATTGATAAACTAAAAAACTGTTGTATCTAGCTTGTGACTGTAATTTAATGTGTGAGAGACTTGTTAAAGAGCAAAAATCACCTCACCTTTTGTAGTTCCAGCTAAATCAGTTCTTTATGGTCAGATTGTTAAAATAAAGATCAGATTTAAGTCTAACTTGAATAACAGAGCTTCAGAGAGAGCAATGTCTACAGTTAGCTTCACACCCCAGGTAATGTTGATGACATCAGCTGCAAATTATTCATTCCTTTCTATCAAAATCAAGTTTCAAATGTGTGTATCGTGATACTACAAGCTTGTGTAGATACCAGAATTGTGATGTCTCCGGCTGTGTGAGCTGCGTGCTCTGTTCTGGTACAGACTCAGACTGTTGGAGGTCACAGACGAGGGCCTATTGTGGCTCAGAGACGAAGACCCTCCTGCTCCACAGTCCACGTCCTCCATGTTGACACCACTGTTACAGCTGGTCAGGTTGTCCTTCCGCACTCTGTAAACACACACGCTTTATTTATTTATTATCTATTTATTCATGTGTGCATCTGTGTAACCAAACAGATAGGCATCAAATATTCAGACGGCACTGTGAACACATGCACTGAGACACAGGGATTACATCAGTCTAAGATACAACAGCGTTCATCCCTAAATGATTTGTCTGACCAGTGAGTTCATCTCCTTGGCTCTGTGGCTACTTAGTAAAATTAAGAGACAACAACTTTAACTTGATGCCAAAGAAACAGGATTAACTATCTAATCTGATCTGAAAGGAAAATTTAGCCTTTAAGAAGCTTAACACAGAGCAGAGACAAACACTTAAGATAACCCAGAGAGATTAATGCAAAGTGTATATAATAGCTACATTATAGAAAATAGAAGACAGTTATTGAGAAGGTCTAGACATAAAAGTGAAAATGATAAAAGGGTCTTGGGAGAGAGCAGCCCAAAGTCAAAGTATTTGACCGGAGTCTCAGTCTGTTTCAGTGGACACACCTATTGCACCGTGTTTTATTTAAAGTCCATTAAGGCAGCACTGAAGTCCCAAGAATGACTTTTGTTCAATCAATAAGTGTAAATCAGAGCCAGAGAGTCACTCAGTCTGCAGACACCTCTTGAATTACAATGTTATATTTACAATTCACCCAAACAGAGATTTAGGACTACCACAATGCCTAGTTGGTTATGCCATTAACACATTACTGACCTTAACCATTTTGAGCAGAACCATGTGCGGATGGCATCCAGACTTAAAGCTCCTCCCCCGATGCTGCGCAGTGTCCTGTGTGTCCCTGCAAATGATGTAGTCAGAGGAGACACATACCTGTAACACAAAACAAAACACTATTTCATTTAGGATATTAATTAGCTTCATAGATCCTTCCACTGAAGACAACAAGATGAATTCATTTATTCATTAATCATTGCATTTATATAGCACCTTTCAAGACACCCAAAGCACTTTACAGAGCATTAGTCATTCACTCCACACTGGGCGGTATGCTACTATTGTAGCCACAGTTGCCCTGAGGCAAACTGACAGAAGTCAGGCTACCAATCTGTGCCATCCGTCCCTCCAACCAGAACCAATCACACACGCACACACTACTCTCTTACTCGGCAATGCGGGTGAAGTGTCTTGCCTAAGGACACAATGCCCACCTGGTATTCCCAATGGTATCCCATCCAAGTACTAATCAGGCCCAGTCCTGCTTTTCTTCTGATATCTGACCAGATCAGGCTTTTGACTAGCCGAATACAACACATTTAAAATTTACCTTTAAATATATGTTAGCATATGTTAACTAGATATAGTAAATACTATGTTCCACCTCTGTTTTCTCACTTTTAAAAGATATTTTTGTAAATCCACACTCTACTCACACCCAGGCTCTAATCATAACCATAACCCTACAACCCAACAAATGTGTGAACTTAGAGCTGTGCGAACATAGAGCTTACACCATTAACTACAACTACACTAAACTACACTCAGTTATGTTTTTATTTAGTGTATTATTTAATCTTATAGCATACCATTTCCTGTGTTATACATATTACTGTAAGATTGTCAATTGTCATGCTCTAAAAAGGCATAAAAATGTAATAATGATGGAAGATGATGTAAGAAGATGAAGATGTAAATAGCCTCCAGTCTCGCATTGGCCTTACATGGGGTATCCCAGAGGCTGGTCGCAGGATGAGTTGACCATGTTCCTTAGAGCCTGTTTGGAGTTTTGGATGCTGCCGCGCTCAGGGTTACGATTCCTTAAAAACACCAACTCCTGTTGTTGTCCTGCCCACAGGCCTCGCACACACTCTTTATTGATCTGCACCAACAAATGTCAAGAAAGACAAGGTAAGTCAGAAGACATGGGGCTAATGCTTTAAGAGGACAGACAGTCTAAGGCAGGGGTCCCCAACTACCAGTCTGAAGCCCAAAACCGGGCTGTGGGTCATCTGGTACCAGGCCCTATGGGAAAATAGTATATATCTTTAAAAAGGAATTTTACTATTTACTATTTCAATATTTAACCTGCTAAACACCAAATGTGAGTATTCAGACCTTTTTGCAAACTATGGAGTTACACTCATTTTGCATTATTATTACTGCCTTGTCTCCTTCCACCCATCCCTGAAAAATGTTTTATGTTTATTACCGGTCTTTATGAGAAAAAAGGTTAGAGACTGTTTGTCTAAAGGTGTAATGTGACCTACAATATAACCAGGACGGCAATTGTGGGGTGGTAAATAGTGTATGTGATATGTGTTAATGTTTTCGTATGTTGCTCCCATAAGTAGGTAGCTCTCTAAAATCTAGATCTAGTAGGTGTCAAAACTTGACAAATCTTGAGCAGTTGCCACATCATAACTAGGCCTGTCACAATAAATACTGTATCAACTTATTGTTCAATACATTTACAGTGGGGACTTTTTCTTAGCAGGAAAATGTTGGTTATTTTTCTGTACTATAAGATTTGAGCTGTAGAGGGTTGAATTATTATTATTATTAATATTATTATTGTTAATCATCATACAAACTAACTGCTTAAGTGTTGCATTGTGTTATTTATTTATTTATTGCAGTTTTTGTTTTTTAACAATATTGTACATTAACAATATTTTTGGGGATTAATTTCTGCTTTATGGTTTGGTTTCAATATTATTGTTTATTGTATTTAGAATCTAGTGGGTTAGCTATGTCCATTTATTTATATAGTCTATGATCGCACTTCAAAATTTGTTATGGTGACCGGCTTAATCACAGCTATCAGCTTATTCATGGGGTTCAGCTTTCGTTGTAAACATGCCATTTATCAAACAGTTACAGTGTGGTGCTATAACCTTTTCTTTCAAGCTGCTTTTTATAATCAAGATAAATGAAATACCCTCAAGCAGGATACAAATACACTGCTTTTAACAATATAAAAGTTAAGTCATTGCTATATTTCATGAAGTGAATAGTGACTGCTGCCTTTCCTCTGTCCTGTTCATCTGACCTTAAATACATCCATCCATCACAGACACAAACACATGAGTAGATGTTTTACCTTGATGACCTTGAAGCTGAGGTGGCGTTTGTATAGCATGATGATCTTGTACTCGTCTGTACCATCATCGATCATGTGACGAAGCGTGAGCAGAGTATCACGACTCGAGAGCACCGCCTTACGCCACGCCGGGTCGCTCTCATGGCAGATCACCAGGCTGCTGCGGTAGTTTGTGATGGCTTCATACAAGATGGATGCCTCCTCTGTTTCCTCCAGGCAGGTGAAGTGATCCTGACAGGACAAGAGTGACACCAATTTTTGTATTTATTTTTTGCTACTAAACTGTGTTTCATTAGAACTGTTTAGCTCTTGTTTTTAAAACTAAGGTAAAAGCATTAGAGACTGCCTCAATAATCTACAATTGTTTTTTCTAATCGCTGATCCATGTCATTTCATTGTTATTTGTATGAATGTTGTAACTATTTGTTTAACAGCTGCTTAATCTCAATAGGATTTTTTCCTGTTTAAATAAAGTCTCTTGTTCCTCATAATTTTTTGGTGAAAACTAAATTTATTGGCAGATTTGTGGTACCTCCATTTAGGCCTATCACCATAATAGTTACTATATCAACTTATTATTCAGTATATAACAGCTGGAACAATATATTGTGGGGCTCAATATTTTTCTTTTTTTTTTCTTCTTTTTTTTTTGCAAGAATGGGGAGATTTTAGTAATTTTTGTTACAATAAGATACTATTTGAGCTGCTGGGGGGCTCGCAGGCCCTGCCCAGTTTAACAGCTCGGTTTGGACAGTGCTGTGGGTGGAATTTAGGCTTGTTCCATTTTAATAATTGTCATTATTATATTTTTAATTTTACAAAAAATCTAAAATTCTAATTGGGTTTGTAGGGGTGTTTGCATTTACCTGGTGTAATTTCAGGCTCATTCTGACAGCTGGAGCTACAACCTTCTGCAGGAGGTCCAGATCAGCAAAGACCCACTCGTCTTTGGAGCCAATGCGGAAGTCTCCTTTAAACAGTGTATTGAACCCATATAGGAATGACTCCAAGCTTTGATAAACAGAGGGGAAAAAGTTGCAAAAAAGCTTATTAGCTATAGTTAAATCAGACACATAATACAAAAGGTGCCATCTTCAGGATAATGTATCTAATTACACATCCTGGTAATCAATCTGCACAACTTTATACCTGTAGTAGAGATAAAAGTTAACTTTTTTTTTAGTTCAGTATCATCTCTTCATATTATGTTGTTTTCTGATATATGCTATAATGTTGTTTCCTCATAAAAAACATATCTGGAGTTGTGTTTTGTTTCATTCACACATGTTTAACACACACACCCCATCAGAGTGTTTTCTCAAACAGAAAATACTCTGTTCCACCTTGTGATGCCATGTGGTAATACAAGGTGCAGCACTGTGTTTTTAAATTCAGTACATCTTCATTAGAATCATTTGGATAATTTCAGCCCTAGAATTGGCAATCTCAATCTCTGAACAAAAACTAAAGGATGGATGTTAACTTGAAAACCTCTGCTTTATGACAAAATGTGGCATTTTGAGCTTTGGAGATGAAGACAGAATAATGAAGGGTTACTCAGATATGTGGGAATGAATCCAAACGTAACTCCAGGTATGTTTTGTAAGGAGGTAGCAGGCAGCAATATAGGACCTTTAACTACAACAAATACATCTGACTGTTTTGTCCTTATCACTTTCTTCCATAATTTTCTTGATTAAAAATGACAAATATTTACCTGTTGGACATATTGTGAGATGCTGTACCAAGAGATCTTCTTCCCAGAACAGAGAGAGCATAAGAAAGAGTGACTAAAGTAGAGTCTTCATCACACTCCACAGGCTACAAAAAAAGAAGAGACAAAGTTAACCAGTGGCCATTACCTCAACAGAGACTTAACATATTTAGATTATGTTAAGTACAGTTTCCATTTTGCCTGCGCAGTACTGGATCCACTCCAGGTAGACATTGCAGAAGCTAGCCCGGGTCACTCCCTGCAGACAGTGCACGTAGTCTTCATCGATCTTCACACTGAACACCTGTGGGTCACGCTCAATGTGGTGCCACTTGGTGTACGACTGCAGCGCCTCCTGGATCGACTCATCCTTCAACCAGGTGGGCAGTTTGGGAGAGTGCACCAAGTAGTAAATAATACTCTGGGAACAGAAAACGCACATTGACAAACTTTTTGCTCATGTCTTATCAGATGTTGTAGGAATTATAAATGACCTGCCATGGACTCTGTTTCTAAAAATTCACTGAAAAGCTTATCACATTAAACACTTCATAGGCTTCTGCCCAATATGATAAATTGTTCTATACTTTTGCAAATATGTTATGACTTGAAAAAGTTCCCAGTTTTCAACACTTCTTAAGGTTACAAGTAGGGATGCGCCAGATCAATACTGGTATCTGATATCGGTACCAGTATCAAAAAGCCTGCTGGATTGGATATTGGATACCAAATATTGGTATATCCCAAATCGGTATATCTCAAATTGATGTAATAAGTCTATTTACTGGTTGTAGTTGGCCCAGAAAGTCTCAGACTATTTTAACTGTCAGTTACATAACACATTTGGATCAGATTTGTCTCATTTTATTTTAGTTCATTTTAAATAAATGCAGTTTTCAGACATGGTGGTGTTGATTGATACTGGGTATCGGCAGATAATTAAAGCTAATATTGAAAGATGTATTAGAACAGAAAAAGCTGCATAGTTATAAGCTTTATTTGTCATTATAGATATAATTTAAAGTGTATAAGGACATTGCATAGATCAAATAAAGGGCTAGAAGCAGGGAGCAGCAAACTCCCCACACAAAAGCACATTCAGTTTGAAAATACAAATTAGGATCTTCTCATTGTCAAGAAACAATGCTCTAATTGTGTCACTCTAGGTAACCAGTGTTGGCCTATGAGTCTCCAACTATGTATCCCACCTGATCAAATAACATTAAAAAGATATTCACACACATTCACAGGTAATTGCTGGACAGCTTTTCCCGTACCTTCAGGTAGTATGTGATGAGTAGCTTGCGCAGGTCGTACACTTGTAGCATAGTAGCAGCGTTGTTCTCACTAATGCTGTATCCCTCCAGCAGATACTTGGTGGCCATCACCTCCCAGGCCAGCCAGCGCAGATTAAAGGCTGCATTGCATGACAACATGTGAGGAAGGTGTCCTGGCTCACAGCAGCAACAGGCATCATCCTCCTCAACCCCTTCTGTAATAGCCTCTACCTCCCTCTGCTGGCAATATGTACCTACAACAAGAGCCACAGTCAGAGATTGGGCAGAGATCGGACTTGTAGTAAGAGTTGATGTGAGACATGGAGGTGATTATACTATTATCTCTTGGATTATAAACAATAAATACTAATAAAAAAAAAACTACAGCTCTTTGATATTGATGTTGCAGTGACATCATGCTGTGGGTGTTCTACATGTATCTCTATTGGCAGAATGTTCAGTATTTACCATAGTGACACAATGCACACATTAGAAAAAACACTGTTAACAAAGTTTTAAGGTCTCAAGAAAAACTTACAAAATGGATTAAAAGAACACATTTTCAAAGTCCCGTTTAGAAGTTTGATTGTTTTTATGTGTGACTTGTTAACACTACAAATCATTTCACCTGCTGTAGTTCCAACCAAGAAAGTTCTTTCTGGTCAGATTGTGTAAAAATAAAGATCAGATTAAGTTTTACAGAGCTTCTAAAAGAGTAGTTAGCTTCACACCCTCAGAGAATATGGATGACATCAGCTGCAAAGTACCAGTAAACAGGGTCCAAAAACCATATTGGTCAGCTGGTAAAGATTACAGCTGGTGTATTTGTAATGTTGTGTACAGTGGTCATTCAGACATACCTCTGAATTCCAATCCTCTGAGTTGGAAGGTGACCAGACCATTCCCAATTTCTATCAGATGGACCAGGGCATTGAGGTAATCTGAAGCCAGAATGAAGCAGTCTCCAGCGCTGTAGTTGCCCCAGCGACCCAGCAACAAATCTCCACAGAGTGAGTGCTGCAGTGAACGCGTCAGGTACTCATAGAAGATGGAATTTAAGTTGTTATCATCACAGCCTGGGAATATGGGGACAGTGGAATAATCAATAAAATAATATATATAAAACTAAGACTTGTATGTAGAAGTCCAAAATAAAGAGTAAATATTCTCACCTGTTTCTTTGTCCACTTGGGAAACCAGCCGACTGTTGGAGTTGTCAATACGCTTTGTGCTATATTAGGATGGAGGTAAAAATAACTGTGATATTTTAAAAACACTTATTTGTGATTTTGTTCTCTAAAAGTAGATAAACATATTCGAAGTTTCCAAAAAGTAGTAGGCTGTCAAATGAAGGCTATCAGTTTTACCATTTCAGTTTTTTTTTTTTTTTTACTCACCTAAAACTGTTTACAAAATAAAATAAAACATAAAATGAAACATCAAAGCTGAATATGCTGCAACAGAATTGCATCAGTAAAAAGGAATTGATGAGTGGAGCTATTTGCGTTCCCAGAACAACAAAGAGAGGCATTAAGAGCAAATTCAGTGCAACCTTTATACATGATCAAAGTAAGGTATCAAACAAATGAACAATTGTGCTTTCTTTCTGCTTCCTGTTTATATCTTACTTGTAGTTGCGCTCCCAGAACTTGATCGGCCGCGGATAAGAGGAGATGAAGATGGCACTACCCAAGAAAGGAGCCAGAGGTGTGTAAAAGACAGTGGTGAGCAGAGTTTGTAACAGCAGCATGGCAGAGTCTGGGATCACACCTGAGTCAAGGACATCACAAATACACTTTAACAGTTAAAGGTGTATTGTGTAACTTTTCTGGTGGAGGGTCCGTCAAACTCTTTTCTCCATGGAGATGTTACAGGTCAGATCAGTGGAGAGGCAACCCCGATCACAGTCAGAATGCCTGTTTTACTAGATATTTTCGAGCTATAAAACCACCTGTAGTTGAATAAATGTAAGGTAGAGCTGTTTAACGTCACACTGTTTAAGATTCCAGGTAAACAAGCAGGTGACTGACCCACCACCAGAAAAGTTACACAATGCACCTTTAAACTGCATTAACAGATATCTCAGATTTGAATAATTACAAAAAAGTATTATTCCTTTTGTTACCATCTCCTATAGACTTTATCAATGAATACAATTTCTAGTGGATTTAATAAAGGAGGGATAGATTCATATTTTTAAAAATGTATTGTAAAAAAAAAGTATTGTCTTCAAAATTGACTTTTGAAGACAATACTAGGCAAAGAGAACTGCAAGCCTCCTATGACTTTTTCAAAAGGCACATATCTGTTTTTCCAAATGAACTGTTTACTTGTAAGTTTATATTTTTTCCAAACTTTTGTGTAAGGATACGAGGCACAGCAAAGGGCTGAGCAAACGCATGAAATGCACTTCCCCAAGCGATCTGCCAGGGAGCGATGTACACCAGAATGAAATGCAGCTTCAGCAGTAACTCGCGCATCTGTTCAGAAATAAACAACAGGTATTGAGATGAAATAATAGTATTCTTTGAAAGTCAACTATATTAAGTTCTCACTTTATGGAAGACAATGGACATGATGAAGAAATCCAAAAGGAAGCTCTCTGAGGCATGTGGACAGTCGAAGTGGAAAAAGACCAGTGTGAAGAGAAGTGTTAGGAAATGAAAACTGGGATCACAGAAAGATGAGCGGAGGAGTTTCAGCCCAGCAACCGTTGTCAGGAGAACATCACAACTGAAGTGAGACAAAACAATATTAGGTCTGTGTTTTTCATGTGCAGCAGACAGATACAACTCATGTCAAATATTATCAAGATAGAACAATAATAGTAATTTGTCTTACTGGATTCCAAGCTTCTTGCGGTGACTGAGAGCGAACCCATCATTGGTGAGCGCACTCAGGATGATGGCCGGATAGACCACATACTTCTCAAAGCACAAGAGTCCAACATAGAGACGCTCAAACCACATCAGCACTGCATCCTCTGCAATGCAAACATTATATTATCTTGTAATGTATATAGTATGTAATAGAAAAGCAAAATGAGCAAAAGACATACAGGAAAATTGTTACACAATTTACCATTACAAAATAGAGTACCAACCTCTGGGTTCAAACTGATAGTACTCTTTGGTCTTCAAAACTGGATGGGAGATCCAGAGCCAGGGGTGATGCTTTCTAAGCTGTGGAATCAGATAGTGGGTCACAAAGCCCACTGTTCCCGCCAGAGCATACAGCACGATTGTCACAAAAGGCTGTGCACAAAATAAACATAAAACAAATTAATTATGAAATATATTTTTTTAATGAAGAGTTACACCAGGAGTGGACCATACTTTCAGAGAGAGAAACACTGTACTTGCTGTGATGGCAAAAGTGAGAATGTAGGCAACTGAGCACACCACCAGGTCAGAAAGCAATATATCCTTCTATAAGAGAAAACAGATTACAAATTATTAACTATTAATACAAAATTAATAAAGTATAAACTGTGTTTATATAGTGCTTTTCTATCTCCATTAGACATTCAGAGAGCTTTATATTAATTAAATACTCTTTCACCCATTCACATATTTCTATAATAGGCTGGACCTACACTGTTGTTGTAAATTTTAAACATGGCATATCCAATCAATAAACATAAAAAATCAATTATGCAGTATTTTATCGTAAGGTATAGCATGCATTGTTTTTAACCATGGAGTTTTGCAGTTTTTCTGGCAGAGGGTCTTTGATGTCAGTGTCTTCCTCCTCTCCCTCCTCCTCTTCCTCACTCTCTACTAAAGACGGCATGAGCTTTGACTTGACCAAAGACCTGTTACAAGACAACATTATTCAGCTGAGTCAAACAGGAAATCTTTTAGTAGTTCAACAACGAGTGCCGTACATTAGCACAGTAGGGTCACTGCTCTGCCGGCTGAGGTGATATGAAAAGACCACAAGAAGGCCACAGAAACTGGAGAATAATGCAGGAGTGTGCTGCTCGTCCCAAGGCTCCTGTAACAACAAAACCTAAAGTATTAAATATTGTATGAAATGTTTTAAATTAATTATTATCATTATTATTATTGTGTTTTACCTTGAGAGCACCAAAGCAGAAACCATAAAGAAGAAAAAGGGCTATCAGGCTGCGCAGGATGCTGTAGACTGCAGAGACGAGACTTGTAGCAGCTGAAACACAAGAAGAGAGCGTACGAATTGTAAAAGTAAATAAACATGATCATCACAGGGTAGTAACAAATGCACAAAATTATAAGTCTATAATGTGGAATAATAAATGTAAAAAGAAAGAAAAGAAAGATCGTTTAAAACTATTTGTATCATCTTTTTAGAATTTTTCACTGACCTGTCCCACCAAAAAAGTGCATGTCAATCTGCTCTAACAGGTAGATAGTGAAAGTGTTGATCTGAGGAAAGAGGCCCACTAAGAACGTGATGGGGAAGCAGTAGGTGAAGCCTGTTTAGAGACAAGACAAGCATTGGACAGTGTTTGATAAGTGAGCATTTTGTCAGGTAGAAAAGGCCTACAGTTTATATTTTGTATTATTATTATTATCTCTGCACTGCCTCTTACCTACTAACATGTCCCTTATGAAACTGAGAGCATCATGGCAGACAATCGTGACTCCATACAGGTTGGAGCTGGGGAGATCTTTTATTACAAGCAGCTGCTCCAACACCCAGATCAAAGCACAGAAGATACAGAAGTAGGCTGCACGACTGTAGGCCACCAACTGATTATGACCCTAAAGACAAAATGCAAGAAAAAAAAAACAAAAAAACAAATACAATAAGACAATACTATGAATAAAATAAAGATGAACAAAAATGATCATAAGCATCATTCACTTACATGAGTAGGGGAAGCTGCATCTGGTTGAACACTCTAAAAAAAAAAAAAAAAAACACAAGTTTTACAAGATAATTTCACAAGAATGTATGAAACAAACAGAAAGCGGCACTGAAATAGAGATGTTGAACTGAAATAGTGAACTAAAGCTTGGTGATTTGTTTAGATGAAAACCTTAAAATAATCTGGTACACAAAAACCATTATCTTTTTCACAAAACAGTTCCTCCTTGCTCATTACCTTTAGTAAAGAATAATGGCAGCTGGCAATAACCAGGCAGAACTGGAAGACCCAGAAGTCTTTGAAACAGCCGTGATTGAGAAGCACAAAACCCAGAAAGGACACCAGAAATGCCATGAAGACGGCCACAAGATTCTCCAAGACATCTTGATTTCTGCATAAGACAAACCCATATATATGCTGTCATATCATAGCAGGATAATTAAAGGTGCACTGTGCAACTTTTCTGGTGAGTCCATGTTACGGCCCCAGGCCTTAGTTCCAATTTGTTTGTGTGATTTTTGCCAAATTCTCCTAATTCCTGCTGCAGGAGCCCTGGTCCATGATTGGTGGGGCAGGTAGACCCCCACCTCACCTGCAGCCACCTCCTCCTATTTAAGGAGATTGCCAGCACCTGTTCGGGGCTGCTGGCCTTGGTGGCCAGTATGCCATTTTGTTTCGTGTGTGTGTAGTTTAGTTTAGTTCTGTTTTGTGCCTTTTTTGATTTGGTCACTCGATTCTGTTTGTGGGTTTATGTGGTTTAATTTGGGGAACTTGTGTTTTAGTTTAGTGTGTGTCCCTAAGTTTTACCACTCGTTTCTGTAAGCCTGCGTGACCCCTTTTGTGGCACAAAACTCTGTTTATTCTGTTGTTCTGTTTCTTAGTTTAGGTTGTTTTCTGTATATTTTAGTCTGTCTTGTTAATTTACCTTTACATTCCTGTTAATTAAACATTATTTAATTTATTCCATTTTACATCTTGGTTTTAATTTTGTTACTTCCCTCACCCCAAACGAGCTGGGTCTGTCACCTACTTGTCTCCATTATTATGTTTTTTACTATTATTATGCTTTGCTTTGTCTGGAATGTTCCATGGTATGACATTAAACATCCATCTAGAGTGTATTCATTGTGGATGTTTCTCTTGCTCAAAAATACAATAATTCTGTGAACAGAGGTGACTCTCCACAGATCTGACTTGTGCTGTAAATTGTTGTCTCCCTTGTGATAGATCGGTTGAATCTATAATGTCGGACATTCTAGACAAGGTAGTACATTTCCATGGAGAGAGGTGGCGGACCCTCCACTAAAAATGTTATGCAGTGCACCTTTAATGTAAAATGTAAATATTATATTTATACACATATTATGTGTACCTGTCCAGTAGCGCCATCAAGGTCAACCGGTCATACAGGATATTTATCCATTTACCAGGAAATAATCTCAGTTTATAATAAATTTTCTGTTTTGGCTTTTCCTGTGTGGATGCTTCTGATGACTCGTCTAAGGAGTCTTCTTCCTAATAAAAAGACATAGAGACAATTATTGTATTTTAATAAGATTTCTGGACTGTACAGACTCTGAAACAAATGCAAAAATGTGTTTTAGAATAAACTATTTCAGATTTTCATCAATATACACTTTTTTATTAATGAATATACTCTAACTAGCCTTTAGTCACCATATGTCAACCTTTACTTAGTTAAAATATACTGGTACTTAAAAGCTAAATGTATAAATTTAAACGGTATGACCTGTACACTAATAGAAACAATAAATGCTGACAGATCAACTACTAAACAGTTGTTAATTGCAACCCTTATGCACACAAAATTAATTAATAGATCAAAGACAAAGAAATAATGATGAAATGCATAACTGGAAATAACCTGAAAGATCTCGGGGTGTGTCCTCCTCGGCCTGAGCCTGTGAGCTGGGATGATGCGCCGCTGGAAAGGACAGTCGGAGTGACCCATGAGTCCATCCTGACACTCCGAGTTGGATGAAGTGGACAGTAGGTCACTTCAGATGCAGAGAAATACATAAATAAGGATAAAGGACATTTTCACAAACATAACGAACAGTTTAGGAAGATTAAATACAGTTATATTAAAACTCAAAAGAAGCTGTAGTAAAGAAAGATAATACCACATATTTCCTGTAATGAGCTCAGCTCCAAGTGGCAAGTTTAGGGCTCTTTCTGCATATAGCTTACGTGGCCTATCTCCTGGTGGAATAAAGTAAAATGTTAGAAAACACATTTTGTAATTGATCACATAATTTAAAGGTGCACTGTGTAACTTTTCTTCAAAGGGTCTGCAAACTGTTTGCCTCAGTAGAGATGTTAATGCTTTGGTTTAAATTGTCCATTGTATGGCATTAAATGGTTTTGCAGCTACAGGTGTTTAAGGACTCAAAAAAAAAAAAAAAAAAAAAAGCAAAAAAAAAGTGGGGTCACCTCTCCACAAATCTAACCTGTAATTAGATATAAGGCAGTGTCCAACAGCAATCTGACCAGAATTGAAGAAGCAGCTTGGATGAGCTGTGAAAGGTATTCAACCAAAAAAACCTTTGTCCATTTGACAAATAAAATTTCCTTTGCCAACCTGTAATTACATTTGCAAGTCTCCATGAAGATTCATATATTTATGACCATACTGCGGAACATTCTAGGCACATCCCCATGGAGACAACTGGTGACGAACTCTCCACCAGACAAGTTATACAATGCACTTTTTAACTAAAACAATATGCGTGCACTAGTATTATCCACTTACTGTGTACAGTGTGGAAAGTGTATGCCTCTTCTTTGTTGGTGGCTTCTGGTCTGCAGATGACCTGCAGCATGGAGCTCTCAGACTGAGAGGTTTGTGATGGCAACGAGTCATAATCCGGGTCTTTCTCTGTCTGCGGACTGAAGAACAACAGTCAAAAATACTGTATAGGTTAGAGTGAAAAACCATAAAGTCATATATCTTGATAGTGATAATGCAGTGTTATATACCTGTCTGGCGAGACTATGGGGATGTGTGTAGGGGGTATGGCCTGTCTGGTGGACAGACTGGTCGGAGGTTGAGGTCTTTCTGGTTTGATATTTTCACTGGTTTCTGTAACTGCCTCCTCTGGTGGGGAGGCGGTACTCAGATTGCCTATATATATGAAAGCATTACACTTTACACATACTTATTACACTACCAGTCAAAAGTTTGCACACACCCTCTAATTTAATGTTTTTCTCTATATGTTTACTACTTTCTACATTTATACACACAGAAGACATTAAATATATGAAGCAAAATATATTGAATTACCATTTAATCTATGACACTACACTGTAATGCAATTACCTTTGGAAGCCGCCACTTCCTTTTTGTCTTCTGATGTGTCTTTCTCTTGTGCACTTGCCCCTCCCATTCGAGTGTTTAATGAGCCAATCAATGAAACAAATTCCAGGAAATTGGATTCATTGGGAAGCTGGCCTTCCTTTGCTTCCAGGTCAGACTTGGAACTTGTCATTGTTGTCTGAAAAATAAATAATGATCACTGGGTATCAAAAGCTCCCCTGCTTGTGCAAACAGATCCACATCGACAAATACTAATAAAAAAATATGACTGTATAAATAAAACATGACATTTACTTTAATTATATATTTTAGAAGTGACAGATTAAATTAGAAATTATAGTTTCTAAGAGGCCTAGTTAAAGGTGCACTGTGCAACTTTTCTGGTGGAGGGTCTGTCATCAGCTTTTCTCCATGGAGATATTGCCTGGAATGTTCTGTAGTATGACTTTACACATAATAATTTCTATAGAGACAGCAGGTGACATCATGGGGCCAAGTTAAATGTCTGAGCTGTGGAGAGGCAAGGCCACTCAAAGTAACTGTAACTGAGTAAATGCAAGATGGATACGTTTAATGCCATACCGGGACATTCCAGACAACGCAACATCTCCATGAAGACAAACAGAAGGCGGACCCTCCAGCTACACAGTGCACCATTAAGTAATTTTCATGGTGTATAATAGTAACATACTGTATTGGAGCGATCTGACAGCAGCACTGCATCTTTCCCACTGTCCATGCTGAGCCCTCGGATATGAGTCCTTCCTCCTGGTCCATATCGGCCCAGTGCAGGGGGGATACGCAGAAACCCTCTCCTGTCTGTCTTCGCCTCAAGGGGGTCTGTGTCATCAGGATGTGAATTCATATCGATACCAGAGGAACTGTTGTCATTGGTGATCTGTTGGCTGGGTGTGCTCTCTGAGGTCAATTGCAGTCCCATGTTATCCAGCCCTGCTTCAGGACACTCTACCGTGGGGAAATCTGAGCTAGTTGTTTCCCTGCAAAGATGAAACTCTTCAGTGGGACTTATTTGTTGTTTGGGTGTGTCTTCGTCCTCTGACTCCTTAGCCTCTTCTCGGCCTTTTATGTCCTGCTGTTCCTCATCTGGACAGTCAAAAGTTATGACAGGGATCTTGATGTGGCATTCTCCAGAATCCTTCTGTGCCTAAAAGTTCACAGACATAATTTAGCATTGTGAGGCACAATCCAGCCACAACATTTGACAGAGACAAGAAATTTGTGGTGATATAAGTTATTGTGTTGTATTTAGCCAAAAAATCAAGGTGAATACATCTTCTTACACACTGACTAAAAGAAATATTAAATATCTAAGATATGGGGAGTGCTGATGGAAACAAGCTCTAGCTCAAACAAGTATCTCTTCTTTCACAATATGAATATGTTTACAAATTGTCCCTGTTAAATAAACTCCATGTATCCATCTATCCATCTTCCATTTATATAGCGACCGCATCACTGCAAACACTGCACTGACCTGCCTGTCACGCTCACAAAGTACATGTGTTGCTTGAAACAGTGCAATACTCATAAAAAGTGAAACTGCACCTGTGCATTTTCAAGCAAGCTCTGCTTCACACTCTCCTCCAGCTGAGCAGCAGTCTGAGGGTCACATGACATGGTGATGATGATTTTCACTGTGTCGCTGTCGTCCAGGTGAGATGAGCTAGGGCCTGGTCTAGAGTTATCCACCAGAACCACTTCTATCTCATCTGAGCAGAAGGCCTCCTCTGCTTCTTCACACTAAAAGGAACAAAAGTACACACTTATTTGTGTATAGGACACTGTGTTAAGATTAGATCAGTGGGTGAACTGATGGTGTACCTGTAGAGGCAGTTCTGGGATGTCCACAAACTCGTCTTCATCATGCTGCGAGCTCAGCACCGAGTTGTTATTCGCATCTGAGTCTTTTTGTATTTGATTTTCCTCCTCACTCTCATCTCCACTTCCTTTGGAGGGAGGCAGGCCTTCATCGGCTGTTTCCTGGTCTGATGCCTCTTTACTGTCACAATCTTTCTCTTCGTCTCTTTTTTCTGAATCTGGTGATTTTTGTTTTTCAGTCCTTGTGAACCTTGTATGAGAGCTCTCACCGTCCTCTTCTCTTTTCGTTGTTGTTTTAATTGTTTCTGCTCCCGCAGTAGTCCCACTAGAAGAGTCAGGACACACCTCCTCCCTCTCAGCTTTGGATGGGGGTCTCTGCTGGGCCAGCAGCAGAGGGGCGGCTTGGTCAGGATTGGGGCTGGAGAGGTCCTCAGGAGATGGCTCTGGACTCAGCTGCAGGCCTACTGCCAATGGCCTCTGCTCAGCAGTGCTCAAACCTTGTCCTTGATAGATTGATAGAATTTAAAATGAGAAAACAATTTGACCATCATGGGTTATCCTCATTATTAAGTCTCACTGTACATATAAGTAAACTGGCAGCATCACAGAAAAGTTGAAAGTGTTGCCTGAGGTAACTATATGAGTTAGCCAATAAGGAAGTTCCTTGTATAAAATGTACAATTGGAGAAGTGGAAATCAACTCTTCAACTAACTTTGTTTATATACTGCACATGCAACTCCATTAGTGCTTCAGTGCTTTGTCAAATGTGTGAGTCTAGTTAGAAAGAAATGATAATTCAAAATTTAAATATTACCTTCTGGTAAAATAATCTCACCTTCAGGAGCTTTCATTTCATCTGATTTTAAGCCCTCCTGAACAGAAGACATATTAGAAACATTTTATTTATGACTTGTTTTGGTATCTATTGTTAACTTACCACTCCTATCAGCCCTGGGTCAGTTTCAGTCTGCTTTACGGTTACTTGAATCACTGGACTGGTGCGTTTCCGACCAAGCATGGACATAGGGACACTGTCTGGCACAGTACTGCTTTTCCTGACAAACAAAAGATCAGGATGGGCAAATAACATGCATTGTTTACAAACACTGAAATTACTGAACAAATTAATAAGACTGCTCCCAACCCTGCATGAACTAATCTGGGGTCATAATTTTGCTTCATTCACCGGAAATAATTCCATTGACCTATATTTAATAATAACTTCCTTTGGGGAACACCACTGGGTCATTACAAAATGAAAATAACATTGTCTGGCTTGTATTATACCACATACTTTTTGTAGGTTCTTAGACTTCTGAAATCACAATTGATCATAATTGTCCATCAATAACACAATATCAGGACTTACCTTATACCAGCAGAACATGCATCTGAGGCATTGCTCTTCTTGTCTTGAGCTTTACTGAGGTCAGAGAGGCTGTTCCGGATCACTGCCTCGCCTTCATCGAACATCACGTGGAGCCGGTAGTTGGCCATCTTGATTAGGATGAAGAAAACAGTGACAGAGGAGCAGTATATGCTTAAAGCCATAGTTGTGGGAGGTAGTGCCTGGGAGAAAAAAACAACAACAATTTGGAGAGGTTATATTTCATGCTAAATCTCACACAAATACTAGACATTTTCTACTATTTTCTAATAGAAAAAAATCTGTTATTTTCTGATACAATGTCAGGTGTGTTGTAATAATATTTTTTTTTTCTTACAGACAAATGTGAGAAAATGTGTGAAATGTCCACATATGATTAGATATAATCTTAGGATGCTGGTATGTGTTTGCTGTGTCATGTGTACTCATGATCGATAAACTTTGAAATATTAAACATGGCAGATGCTCTGAGAAGATGACATGCCTCAGAATGTGTTCACCCTATAATTAAATTAAGTTGTTCCTCCTAGCTTTCTGAAGTAGCCTTTTCTTAATTCTAGATCCCGGTTCTTCCTGGGGTTTTCAGATTTTGACCTAAAAGGCAGCATGCCACAAGCATATGCCACAAAACACAATTGTGTAACGTAAAGCAGACCTAGGGCTTACATAAATGCTAATAAAGAATGTGAAAACAAAAACTGTAATACAATGTCGGTTTGATGTTACTGCTCTATTCCTCAGTTATAGCTAATAATTAAGGCCAGAGCCTTACAGGACAATAGCGAACTACACAAACAGAGCTACACCACTACACTACATCCAGGGCAGCCATGCGTCCTCTCACTGCATGCGGGAAACACTGCGACAATGTCCATTTCTCTGGCCCTGTGTTTTCCAGTGAGCAATAAGACAACCACGACAACTTTGTTTGAACCGCAGTGTTCTTCAACGAAGAAAACAACGCATGGCACCTTCTGCTCCCTTTAGGCAGCCTATAGCGGCCTTGAACGTCATGTTATGAGTGCACACTACTCACCAGATGGAGAGACAAAGGTAACATGAGCAGGAAAATCCACAAATAGAGGTGGCATGAGTTGTTAAATTTGTTCTGATCCGGATCGTGGTACCAGCCTCCAGTCAGAGATGCCCAGACCCCCTGGCGCAGGGTCTGCACAACCTGGGAGCCCATGTCTCCCTCGCTCTCCTCCTCCCCGCTCAGGTTGGACGGATGAATGGTGCTGCTGCTAGGCTACAATAAAATACAGTTTATGGTGCGCAGCTTACGCTACGCCTCCATGTCGGAGCGATGCAGCTCTTCTCCTTATCTTTCATGGCTTAGCTCGTCCTCGGCGTCGTCAGATAGCCCTTCTTTTTCTGTTCCTCCGATGCTGCTATCTCGATCCTCATCTTGTCCTGTTCACCTCTCTGCCTCCAGCAGCCTGTTTGGTGCGCAGCATCCGTCGCGTCCTTCCCACAATTCCTCGCCCCCTCCCCCCCTTTTATCCCCATCCTCGAATAATAATAATAACAATATATTCGAAGAGGTGAAGGGGAAGTATTAGCTGATTATTATTATTATTATTATTATTATTATTCTCATTATTATTGTTGTTGTTGTGTTCTTGCCATCATTACAGAGATTATTTTAGTCTACTAGACTTACACATAGCACATTGTTCATGACTCCTGCAGAAGTGTCCAGGCCGTGATGGTCCATGGTCACAGGGCTCTTTTCCCACAGCTTTAAGGCGCTCTCGCGCGCTGCGCTCTCACATTCCTCCGCAGACTCCTCCCCCTCCCCCGGTGTTGCGGCGGTCACGTGATACTGAGCTGACCAATCAGTGTCCTCCAGCGCCAGCAGCAGAGCGCAGCGTCTCGGACTCTTCCACTGCTGCGTTGGGCTCCGAATGAGGACTATGCGATGGGGGTTGTTTTGATTAAAACGGACGAATAACTCCAGCTTTTCTTTTTTGCTATATTGAAAACAAGATGTTTTTAAGGCATTTCGATCCTCGCGATTACAACTGGTGCATACAGTACAGTATAGTTTGGTAATAATTCTTGTTAAAACAACTGAACAACTTTTTTCAAGTGCGGTATTAGACAGCGGTTCTATGCTAAGCTAACTTGCTAGCTAAAAGTGTGGTATGTACTAAAGATATGGATGTAACTTATGCAAACAGCTATTTAAATCTTACATATCAAAATATCTGCTGAACGACCTTTGCGGTGCCCTTCAGATCGGAGCCTCTTGCAGTAGTTTGAGCGCTCCGAGAGCAGGGGCAGGTGCACCTCCTGCGGCACCTGCGAAAACTTTGCAACCAACCCATCAGTGAAGTAGAGGCTAGCTTTAGCTCCTGCGCGTTAGCTTTCATCAGACCAGGGGTGATATGCTTGAGATCATTGTACGATTTGCCTGTTTATGAGAGCACCGCTTACTAAGCATTTATTACTGATGACGCTAGTCACATATTCTCGCTTTTGAAGTAACTTTGCTCTGGAGTGACCGTGGGACATTTGAGGAGCGGCGACGTGGATACGGAGTGGGTGCTCTCAGGACTTTGGACACAGGGAGCCTGCACTGCGCAGGGCAGGGAATTCCCCTTTGCTCTCATTTTCTCCTGTCATGTCAGATGCGACATAACAATGCTATTTAAACATACTTTTTACCGTCAATATTCTACAGTTTGACCTAAAGGCTCTGCACCCTATGGTGCCGCTACGGCCACTAAGATATGGATGTCTCTCAGGCCGCTTTCCCAAACGGTGAAGGGCGGCCGGAAGGCGGTGGGACGGGGGAGCATGGCTGGACTGAGCCCCCCACAGCGCGGTCATGGGCCCACTCTGCCCCTCTGTGCCCATCTCGGTCCCTGTGGACAGCTGCTTATGACTATGAGGCCAGCGGGGAAGACGAGCTCAGTCTGCGTCGTGGGGACGTGGTGGAGGTTCTGTCCAAGGACGCTGCTATATCTGGTGACGAGGGCTGGTGGACGGGTAAAGTTAACCACCGGGTCGGGATTTTTCCATCGAACTATGTCACTTATCAGCCTGCAATTTATCGTATCCCTGCCACCACTACGCCAGAGCGAGTGCCAGGCTCTCCTGTACAGATTCCATTCAGTGAACTGGTTTTAGAAGAAATCATAGGCGTGGGCGGATTTGGCAAAGTTTACCGGGGAACATGGAAAGATCAGGAGGTGGCTGTGAAGGCCGCTCGGCAAGATCCAGACGAGGACATAACAGCTACCGCTGCCAGTGTTAAACAAGAAGCAAAACTATTTTCAATGCTGCAGCACCCGAACATTATCAAGCTAGAGGGCGTTTGTTTGGAGGAGCCAAACCTGTGTCTGGTCATGGAATATGCCCGAGGTGGGACTCTAAACCGGGCACTGACGGGAAGACGTATCCCACCTCACATCTTGGTTAATTGGGCCGTGCAAATCGCTAGAGGGATGCACTATCTGCACGAAGGAGCCGTAGTACCCATCATTCACCGGGACCTAAAGTCTAGTAACAGTAAGTACAGTTGTAGCTGTTTTCATTTATTATTTTATTTAACTGATGACAAATTACCTCAATTTTTATTTGAGGCAAACATCTGGTATGCATAAAACAGGCCCATTTGAGAGGTTTTAATTGTATACTGGGCATACTCTTATCCAGAGCTGCACAAAATGCTGTCTTTATTCTTATTTGGAGTACTTAAGTTATCAGTTTTAGTTAAGATAGATCTATTAGGATAGGCAGTGGGAGGGGGTATACTGTCATGAGGATGTGAAATCGGGTCAGTTTGCTCAGCTGCACCCCAGTTCCCATCCCCTCACTCTTTTACACACACAACACACCTTCCCAGCCCCCTCATCACCTCAGGCTCTCCCTGTGTTCAAATATTCAAAGATTTACTAAACACTAACCATATCAACCCACTGTCAGGCCATGGTTTTAGTCAACTGCGTTGTTTACCACTGATAATGAGGTCATAGGGTATGACAAGCTCCAGGCATGATCAAAGACCACATTTCAGGTGTTAAACTCTGCTTATGAGCAGTATCTGGCATTCCATTTTTACAGAAATGGAATATAAACCTTTTTCTGAATTTATTTACTGACTGTGGATAGTGACATCTGACAACAAAAAGATTAGAGTCTTTGTTTGATGAGTAAATGAAAGAAGACTGCATAATATATTCACAGTGAGTCACGTAGCCCCTTCCTCCAGGTGTGTGAGTGTAACACGACCCCTGCACTTTGTCAGTGTTCCGGTGCCTCACCTGTCTGAGGCTCAGAAGCATCAAAGCAGAGTGTGCAACAGACTTAAAGTCATGGACAAACATGCAGGCATAGATCATACTTTTGCATATATTATACTTGCACGTATCTCTATTTGGTCAGTGCAGAGCAGAGTCACATCTGCTGGAAACTCATAACCTAAATTGTCTTGTATTATTATGAAAACATGTCAGCATTTGGAACACTTGTAAAGTAGAGTAAAAGTAAATGTTCAATTGTGTGATTATTTCATTCAAATGGCACAACCGAATATAATAACAATATAGAAGGCCATTGTAGTGAGCCCAGCAGATAACAGCAGGGAGCTGAGAGCGCTTGGGTCAGGAGCCTGAACATCTGTATCAATATGAGTGTTGACTTAAATGTGAATGAGTGCAGGTTTGTGTTTGCCTGTAAAGAGGACAGAGGGTTCAGAAAACACTGCTCCACATACACGCACGCGTGCACACACATGTGCTGCCATGTTTTTGCCCTGTGTGTTTAGAAAAGTTTTATAGAAGTAATCAGCCCACTCTGCAGCCCCTCGGCTAAAGGGCCGGCTGAGGTGCTGGGTGTGTGACACATCTCGGGAAGCCCATTTTTAGACTTTGCACTGTTGTACTCACAGTCAACAAAGACCCAAAATAACAGCCAAAACACCTCATCTTAGTCTGGACTCAACTTCTCAGCCTGAGCCAGTCAGTTATCAGCTCACAGAGTACACACTCTCACACAGACAAACATGCAGCTATTTGATCAATGATTAGCCTGTAAAGTAATATGTTGGAAGTCAGTGAGATTTGGCCAATCTCTTTTGTGTTTTTCAACCTAATCTGGAAAATCCCAGCCTGCAGGGAGGAATGTTGCTAATGAGGGATAAAAGCTTAACATACGTTTGCACAATGGACTGGTCAAGCAGCGGTTGCTAGGCTACTGTGGCCAAAAGAATGGCTAGAACTCGGAGGGTCTCAAAGCCCTGGTTTTGTTTTGTTCCGTTCATATTTAATCTCCCATAGAGCAGCTCCTCTTTTATTAGCTCTGACTGAGGGTTTCCTTCCCATTTCTTTCCCCTCTTAACTTACCTTTCCTCTCATGTCAGTATCTTTAGCTTTTGGGCTTGCACAAACTCAAACAGAAAAGAAAGTTGACATTAACTTGATTTAAGCAGTATGTGGCTCATACATTTCCAGTGCTATTACATGTATGTCATTACTAAAATAAAATTGAATTATCTTTTAGATTTGTGCTTTGTTTACCTTCATTTCTTTTGCTGTTTCCAAGTGATTCTCGTCAGGTGAGGAGTGGCAGCGCATTACAGAGCACTTGATAAGGTAAAAAATAATAACTGTGAAACTTGGCTTGGGGCCAGGAGCCCAAGCCCACATAAACTAGAGTTTCACTTCTGTGCAGCAGTCACTCACTATGTGAGGAATGTGTGTAGAATGCCATTGGAACTGTTGCAGTGTGCTTGGAGCATGTGCACTTACACTGTCTTATGTCATTGTCTAGGCTAATTAGGGCTTGGTAATATGTAAACAATCAGGCAGAGAAAACAGCCAAATGTAATCTTTTGTAATGTAATTTGTTATATATTATTATGAATGTATTACGATTATATATTAGGCTAAGGGGTTGTATTGCCAAAGCTTGACGTGTTGCAGGGTAGCTTTGCTCTAGCTTCCCCACAATTACCCCGGTGACACTCGGACAGTTAGTGCCTGTCCTTGTGTGCTCAGAGAATGGGCAGAGGGAGAGAGGAGGAGTGGAGATGCTTTCACACTGTTTTTTATGACCTCTCCCTGACTGCACCTATTGTTGGGGGACAGGCTGAAAAGGGAAAAGGCCCACAGCTGAGAGAGAAGCTACCTTCAAAATCCACCAATGGCCTTGCTGGCCCACTGGCACTTTAATAGATGCTAACATGGCAGAAAGGTCCTTGTGCTACACATTTTGGCTTGAATGCCTGTGTTATGAGCTGATTTGAACTTAAACACCAGAAGAGGAAGTGAGCAGACAAAGCGACCCAGAGAGACGTGACCATGATAGATGGATTTAGGCAGCCTTTAGCCTTGATCCTTTTCCCAGCATCCCCAGGGCCTGGGGGCTCTCTGGTTTCAACAGGCACACCAGAGTTTAGCAGCCTGTTAGTAAAGCAAGCACTCTTAGGTCTGGGACTCATTTGCTTCTAAAATGGAGCTAATGGCACTAATCTTCCATTAAAAGTACAGTAAAATTGGAGGAAGTAAAATGTATTACATGGTAAGAGGAACCGATTACAATCTTACATATTCAATATTATTATTTTTTGAATGGTTACTACTTGCAAATCTCATTGGTTTTACACCATTTAATACTTATACTTTACACAAGAACAGAAAGAAAAAAAAATCTCAAATTGTGCACTCAAGATGGTGTGTATAAAAGTTTAAAAAAAAGTTTTTGAAACATAATAAATCTGATTTCAACATTGATGGTTAATGAGAGTTTTCAAAAACAGCCTCCACTCACCTGGAGGCTTTTCGGGCAAAGGGAAGAAGCGTGAGAGCAGCTTTGAAGACACAGCTCTGTGTATGATCTTCCCTCTGCTGCTCATGAAAGATGGGCCTGCCTGAAGACCAGGACGGGATGGACCCAGGGTGGGGTCTGCCTCGGGGCTGCAGCCAGCTCCAGTTGCGTTGCACTGTTGTCTACACTTTTGGAAGAATAAGAAAATATAGAAGAAAGGGAGTCGGACACCTCAAAACAGTATCTGTAGATACACAGTTAAGTTTGTGTGCTCTTTCTTAGACAAATTAAAAACACCATTCCAATGGTCACAAATAATATCCCGTCTCTTTTGCACAAAACCTGCTTACTCCGCAGTTTAGAGTTGCAAGCATGTTCTTAAATGCATGATATTGTCACATATTGGTGCTCCTGGATGCGTCGTGCCCTCTGAAGTCTGAACTGATTCCTGCTGTTAAAACATACTACTACTGCATAACACAAATCTAATTGTGATTGCAATTTTTTTCAGAAAAAATAGCACAGTTTGGTATATTTCCAATCCACTATCTCCTATGCTTACATTAATATGTTAGTCTTATTGGCACATCTACTTCAGTCATATTTTTTGTTCATATGGAAACAGTATTTTATTTCATGTGAATGGAGCTCTCGATCTTGTTAGAGCTTGTTTGTCTTTGAGAGACCCTAGAAATTAGAGGAGGTCATGGGAGGTGGGCTTCAAAGTGGGGTTAGTAACAAAGCCAGGCTGGAGCACAGCCATACAGAGTGAAGAGACCAGTGTGGGTCCTGTGCTTTTGGCAAGATTGTCTCATAGTTTGGTCCACTCGCTTTTGTCCTCAATACTTTCTCAGTAGTGTGGGTTTACGCTCTGAGGCAGATAATCTATTTATAAAACATATTTACATTTTTATATAGTTCAGCTTTAATGGAACGCCATCATAAATCCACAATAAGTACTAAACCCGGACAAAAAGGGTTGTGTCCAAAAGTGTCACTTAAACCAGAAGCACACTAAAGACTGTACGATGCCATGTGAGCTGTTGTGGTTACTTAAACACAAATGTCCAAATCACTTACTTTTGGCACAAATTTTTCAGTCTTCTTTTAAGATATATTTTTATAACATTTGGACAACAATCCTACTTCTTGTACTTAAGGCTATGTCTGTGAGTCATATTTTTCATACAATATACAAAAAGACATAATTTGTGCCACAATACTTAAATACATAAATGTGTGTAAAATTGCTGTTTGCAATACTAATACACACGGCTAAATAAGATGACACAATGTAAGTGCGTGTTGATATATTCAGAGTCATATTGTACTATATGTAGCACACAGTTCAGATAGAGAGGCAATATAAGAAAAAAAGGCAGTGAAAGCATGGCAATCGTGATACTTTTCAGACTTTACAATTTGTTGATGTCCTGTGAGGTTCCTGCAGTTGTAATTTAGTGCTCTGCAAAATAATTCGATTGACTTGTTATGCTTCTTGTGTATTCATTTTAATGGCATGATAACAATATTAATGTCTTGGATATACTGCGCTTTTCAAGGTTAGTGCTTTGCAATGCATTATTCATTCAGTCCATAAACATCAGAGTTAACCACTGATTGCTATATACTTAAGACCTAATTTTCTGGTGTACCAGCAGCTCTTTCTTGAGCCCAGTGACAAAATGGCTGTACTAAAAGGTGTTTTTGTGTGATGGACGTCAGCATGGAGTCATGTGGACAAAAGATACTGTCTTTTATCAGAGATTTCTAGAGGGCTGACACTGAAGTACCAGGGAGCCACAAAGAAAGTATTTGGCATGATATTCTAGAGGCCAATCAGCGCAGACCGGGTTTATCCCCAAACCACTGTTCTGCTGGGTTGTGTAACTAAGCCACCATAAGTCATTATGAACCTACAGAGCCTGCTGGGAGGAATCTATGGAATCACTGAGAGAGAGCTTGACAACAGGAAGTAGAGGAGTATATCATTGGTGCAATGAAACCTGTTTGTAATGGAAATCCCATTGTTGCGACCTGGGTAGAGGATCCCCTTAGTGCCCAAGGCTAGTAATGGCACCATTAGCTGTGTTTTAATGCAGACCCAGAGGAGCTACATAGCGCCACACTACACTGTAGACTACTGACATAGGCCACTGTAAAGTCCACTGCAAGAATCAAATCACATAAACATGACAGATATTTGTCAAGTACACTGTTTTATTTCCACTTAAGTCAGTTTAAGTTTAAAGAAAGGACATTTTTAAGTCAATGATACAGTGACCACACAGGGTTATCAAAAATGTTATGTGTCAGCCTGTCATCATGATAATTATTATATTGACTTATTGTTCAATACGTGAAAGCAAGAACAGTATATTTTTGGGCTCTGTATTGATCCTGTATACATTTTCTTGGGCATCATGGGCAGATTTTTGTTATTTTTGTTATATTACAATAATGTTTGAGCTGTAGAGGGTAGAATAAGTAACTTATGGCTATTTATTAGTTGATTCAGGCCTTTTAATGTTAGTCTCTTATTAAAATTAAATTATTATTGGTTAAATTATTAAAATTGGTTTACCTGCTTTCTGTCAGTGGCACAAAGTAGTTTCTATATTATCGTTTATCTCTGTAGCAGTATATCGTGCTTCAAAATGTATTATAGTGACAGCCAGGCCTTTTTATGTTACAATATATACTGAGCATTTACCGATACAACCTGCTATACTGACCTGCAATTTTGAGTTCATTTATGAAATAATAGAATATACTGATTTTGAAAGAAAATAAGTAAAGAAAATAAGACCTTATATATTGTAGTATATAGTTTTGTAGTTGCTAAGTAGTGTGTGTGTTTTTTCACGTTATCATTTTGTAGGAGTTTGGTCCAAGGTCACTGAAGCAGTGATAATGCAGCCAGCTCATTCAGCATCTATGTAGTGTTGAAAGCTTTTAATTGATAAGACCAAAAATAATAACATGTAACTTTCTTTGTACAAACACTGAAAAAATCCAAAGTGTATCTTTAACCTTATCATTCTGTTGTTTTTCCCATGGGAATCTGACCACAAGGTCCAAGTATGGACAAAGGAAACAGACTGGTTTTATCACCTCCTTTTGTCTCCCTGTACAATATTTTCCCTTTAAGTTGCTCGGTTAAGGTACCTAAAGGGGCTTTTTAAACAGCTTTGAGAATCACCGCTGGAGCAGAGGAGACTATAAAAAGGTTGAGTTGCGGTAGGATCTTTGCGTGTCAATAATGAAATGGGACAGTCGGTAATGTGAGTAGATCTTGGCAGGGGTTAAAAACAAAATGTTGAAAATAACACCACAAGCATCAAAGGATCAAAGAGTCTTAAGTAGTGTGCTCACGCGATTCCATTTTACAATCACCATACCACAACAAATTATTCATATTTGTTGAAGACTGGATCTTTATTATGATCAGAGATATTTAACATGCAAATATTGAAGGTCCTATGTTGCTCAAAATTTACCTTACTAAGTTTTAAGCCTTGTTAGAATGTTGTTACCCTCATCAAAAATATACCTGAAGTTGTGTTTTGTTTCATTCACACATGTTTGAGTAATCTTTTTATTAGTAGTCTGTCTATAACTCCAAAGCTCAAATGCTCTGTTCCATCTTGTGATGTCATGAAGTGCTAGTTTTCAAGCTATCATTTACCTTTCATTTACCTTTTCAGCTATCATTTACCTTTAGTTCAATAGAGATTGGCAATTGCAGGGCTGAAATTATCCAAATGATTCTAGTGTAGGTGTATGGAGTTTAAAAACACAGTGGAGCACTTCTTGTATTATCACATGACATCACAAGGTGGAGAGGAGGGGATTGAGAGAAGAACACTGTCGAAATATGTAGGGTTTGTGTGTAAAAAAGCGTGTAAATAAAACTCCGGGTATGTTTTTGATTATAACACAGAATTTTTTTTATCTGTTATACAAATATATTATACAGATTTTAAAAAAAATCTGTATAATATAGGCCTTTTAAGCTCTAAAATCCTCACAAAAAATGGTCAAAGTTGTCTTTAAAATTGTTAACAAAAATCAGTGTATAGTTGCCTTTTTTGGTTGAGATTGTCCACTCTTGGGTTCACATGTCACAACCTTGTACCCTGGGCCTAGTGTAGTGTTACTGTGAAGTTTGGAGGGATCTTTAATGTGCTAAACACTTCTAGGACCCGAGGACAGGTGCTTTGTGGCTCTGTCAGCCTCTTGTTTCTACAGTAATATATGACCTGCGTACTGCTTTTGGCCTTTACATATCCACTGTCATCTCCTCCACTCACCCACACACTGCAGCAGGTCTTTACGATGTTATAGCTCTAAAGGTTTTTAAAGAATGTACTTTTAAATCATGACTTAACTGATAAGTTCATAGTTACACAGCATACAGAAAAGCATAAATTGAAAAAAACATAAGATCTGTGCTTTTCGCAAAGTAATTGAATTGTAATCTCATCTTGCAATTTGAAGCAATACAATGTGTATTAATGTTGCTGTTAAATACAAACATTTTATTCAGTTAAAGGGCCCATATTACATTATTTTCTGATCTATGCCACAGTGTTGTATCCTCATCACAAACATATCCGGAGTTGTGTTTTGTTTCATTCACACATGTTTAATACAAATCTTGCATTTAGGCTGAGTTCTTCTCTCAAATGGAAAACACTCTGGCCACCTTGTGATGTCATGTGATAATACAGGAAGTGCTCCACTGTGTTTCAAACTCCATACACCTTCACTAGAATCATCTGGATAATTTCAGCCCTGGAAATGCCAATCTCTATTGAACTAAAGGTAAAAGGTAGCTGTTAACTTTGGAGATGTAAACAGACTAATAATAATAAAAAAAACTTACTCAAACATGTTTGAATTAAACAAAACATGACTCCAGATGTTTTTGAGAAGGTAACAACATTATAACGTGGCTAAAAATCTCACAAAACTAAATTTTATGTGATATAGGATCTTTAAAGTATCATTGCCACCCTCCTAATAATTGCCAGTAGCCCTTATAATTTATAATTCTGAGTCTGTGTCTTACTGTGCTGTTTGTTGTTGTGTCTTTTTAGTTTTTATTACTTGAAAGGATTGAGAATGATGACATCGGGAGGAAGACATTGAAGATCACAGATTTCGGCCTGGCTCGGGAGTGGCACAAAACTACAAAGATGTCTGCCGCCGGAACGTACTCCTGGATGGCCCCAGAGGTCATCAAGTCGTCCCTCTTCTCCAAAGGCAGTGACGTATGGAGGTACGCTGTCATCTGGTCTTCTTTGAGCCTGTGATACAATATTGACTTATCATTACGCATATGATAGCTAGAACAATATATTTTGGGGGAGATTTTTGCCATTTCTTTGTAATAAAGAAAGATATTAGCTGTAGAGTGTAGAAAAAATAACTGCAATGGCTGATTATCGGTTAATTCTGCAGCTCAGGCTTTTTAATGACACTGTATATTTCAAAATGTGTTTACCAGGATCATCCTGCTTTGTGACAGTGACATAAACCAGTCTCAGTATTATCATTTATCACAGTATATATGTCTGTAGCTATATATCGTGCTTAAAAATGTGTTATCGTGACATGAAATATTGATTCATGCTGTCTTTTGTAGCTATGGTGTTTTGCTGTGGGAGCTGTTGACTGGAGAAGTGCCATACAGAGGGATTGATGGCCTTGCAGTTGCATATGGTGTTGCGGTCAATAAACTAACGTTACCCATCCCATCCACATGTCCTGAACCCTTTGCCAAGCTCATGGAAGGTGAATCACACAGCACAAGTCTGCACAAAAACAAAGGATTACAATGCATCCAGTGTGTCAATTTTGTTACACAATTCTAATAGCTTAAGTTGTCTTTGTAAAGTGGGCGTTTTTGTCCTGGCATGTCCTGTCTCATATAATTACAGATTATATTACAGATTAATTGCTTCTTTGCCATAATTCCCTGTGTAATTATGTGCTTGTCATGATTATTATAGCAGATGTTGCAACACAAGAAAAACAAATGTGATATTCATGAATGATGTTGTTCAGAATGCTGGGACCAGGACCCCCACGTGCGCCCCTCCTTCTCCTGTATCCTGGAGCAGCTGTCGGCCATAGAGGAGGCTGTGATGGCCACTATGCCCCAGGACTCCTTCCATATTATGCAGGACGACTGGCGTGTGGAAATCCAAGAAATGTTTGATGAGCTTAGGACCAAAGAGAAGGTAACAGCACCAAAGTTCCTGTTTAGGTTCATATTTCTGTTTCAGATTGGGTCAAGTCAAGTCAAATCAAGCAGAAAACTGACAACCACTGTATTATGATTTTACATTAGTGCAGTACTATTGACAAGGCTTGCCACAATACATTTTTTTTTCAATATATGACAGCTGGAACAATATTTTTTGGGGTCAATATTTATTGTGGGTATTTTTTTTTCTTTGTGCTACTGGGAAATTTTTTCTTATTTTTTGGCTATACAATAAGATTTAACTGATAAAAGGTTAAATCTTATTAGAGATCCTTAGATATCCTTGGATATCTTAAACGATGTCCAAGTCTCACGATATGATATCGTCACGGTATGAACATGAACGATATCGATATTTATTACTATATCGTGGGAAAGCTCACGATATGGTGGGGAGGCTCACTATTAGGGATGTAACAATATCCAAATCTCTTGGTACGATATTTTCACGAGATACATCTCACAGTATATTTATTGTGATATTTTGTGGAGGCAAACAAAACTGTTAATATGCTACTTCTTCTTAAAATGCCTTGACAAGATTTAGTCCAAAGAACTAAGACTTAAAAGTGCTTAGAACAATTATTTCTTCTTGTAGTCTACACTGAAATGGAGCAAAGGATCATGGTCTTTGTAGTTCCCTTTGTCTTTTTATTAGCTATTGCTGCACCATAACTCTTAATTTAAGCAAAGAGACTTATAATTCAGTATATTGTGATGGTCCACGATATTATTGTGAGAGTTTTGACGATACAATATCACGATATTTCAGTTATTGTTACATCCCTTCTCATTACAGAAGCAAACTAAGTACTAAAGTGTTTAATTCTGCTATTTATTCTTTACAGCTCTTGATATTTTTTAATAATATTGTACATTTAGAATATTTTTTGTGATTTAAATCTGCCCTTGGGTTATTGTGTCAGTGGTATAAATTAGATTCAATATTATGTTTAATCATCTCTTTTTACTTCTGCAATATTGCACTTCAAAATTTGTTATCGTGACAGGCCTGGCTATAGCACATATATTTGAAGTGTGACTATTTTGTTTATGGCCACTATTACATTGTTATATACCATGGGCATACATGTACTAAAACACATAGTAGTAATAGTCCATGGTGTCACTCTGGGAAAAGCTTAACCAGCCCAAGGTTAACCAGTTGTATTGAGTGAGCAGAATAATCGCCTGTTTAACAAAACCAGCCATTAGAGTTGAGGCGTTCAGCGGACTTCCCCTTGTTAAGACCTTAATCTGCTTTCTGTACAAGTTCCCCGTCACTGGCTTAAAGTGGGGGGTTCATTAGTGTTTGGAGAAACTGCAGGATCAGCAAATGGATCAGCCAATGGTGGACTTAATCACATTTTTTCTGCTTTATTAATAGCTTAATACTAGTTGTTTGTTGATAGATTTTTCTCATCATTCTCTTCACATGCTTTTGATTGTGATTTTTCTGCTCTGGTATATTAAGAGAAGTGCGGGGTTATTAATTCATATTAGTAATGAAAATGTCTGAAATTATGAAGAGTCAAAAATCCACAGCTGTCAATGTTGTAATTAAATGTTTTGGTCTAAATTAATTCTGGATTATATATTCTTTCTTAAAGGTGCACTGTGTAACTTTTCGGTTGGGGTCCGTCACCGTCTTGTTTCTATGGATATGACATTGCTCTGCTTCAAATGTTCCACAGCATGACATTAAACAGCTCTACCTTACATCTATTAAATTACAGATGGTTTTATAGCTCTAAAATACCTAGAAACACAGATGCTCTGTGAGCTGGGTTGCTTCTCCACAGATCTGACCTGTTACTTGTTCTGGTATGGTCTCCATGAAGGTAGAAAGGTTTAATGCTGTACTGTGAAACATTTCAGACAAAGCAATAACATTTCCATGAAGAAAAGCATCTGACAGACCCTCTACCAGAAAACGTACACAATACATTTAAATATCACACAACCTCTGTCTATTCAGATTTATATAGCTTTTCTAATTGCTCTTGTTCATTAAGAACTGATTGGGCATTATACTTTTTGAGTTTTATACTTGTCTTAGTGATTTTCCTCATAGATCAATAAAAGTAGTGTTGACGAATTTAAGAGAGAAGCTGGGTAGTTTGCTAATAAGATTGATAAATATTTTTTTCCCGTTTCCCCTAGACAAACTTGTGCTAGTTCAAATGCAGTGTTTTTGTTAGTTTTTTTAACACTTTACCACACAAACAAGAACAATTAAACAACATAAAAATTATACTAATAATACCGGGGGTGCAGTAGGAACAAATGCAGTCTTTATGTGCCATTTTATATTGTGACATGTGAGCTACTGTATCCAAGTAATTTTAATTCTAGTTTTGAGTACAAATGTAGTGTCTGTGTGCGTGTGTAGGAGCTGCGTTCGCGAGAGGAGGAGCTGACGAGAGCTGCTCTTCAGCAGAAGTCTCAGGAGGAGTTGTTGAAGCGCAGGGAGCAGCAGCTGGCAGAAAGAGAGATCAATGTGCTGGAGAGAGAGCTCAACATCCTCATCTTCCAACTGAACAAAGACAAGCCCAACGTCAAGAAGAGGAAGGGCAAATTCAAACGCTCCCGCCTCAAACTTAAGGATGGGAACCGCATCAGTTTGCCCTCAGGTTAGAATTGGGGGTCTTATCCATTGTACCCCAGATGGGACAAAGTAACTGAATTTTTGTAATTAGTTTCTTGATTTCGAGCTATGTCACAGCAGAACAAACAGAAAGTACAGCGATTAATGCAATCGGTATTATTTGAGTCTAAGATTGACTCATACAAATGAAGATTGATGCTTGAAATGGAGTGGGAAGAAGTAAGACTTTTTTTTACCCACTCCAGTGTGAATCATTTACCTAGATATATCTATCCACTTTATGTATATAGCTAGGCCAGTCATGGTAATTACCATATTGACTCAAAATGTGTTATCGTCACAGGCCTATATATAGCACATTTGTATAAACATACAGCAGTTTTTAAGTGCTGCACTAGGTCACTTTGAATGAAAGAGTCTTTATTCAGCTCTACCAGACATTATTAAGAATATAAAAAGAAGCAGAACAAAATAAGAACCACATTAAATAAACTATTAAATTAAAAACTATAAATAGACTAAAATATGGAACAATAAAATAAGACAATACGACCAAATTAATAAAAACAATAGGACAATATAAAGTTTTGGAGCAACTATGAAAAAGCTTACAATACATAAATATTTGATGCCACAACAATTCACAGTGATTTTGAATTAGTTTAGTCTGTGTATGTGCACTAAAACTGGTCCTGCTTTATTACATTATGGAAGAAAATTCATTATCTCTGTTGTTTTTAGTCTAGTGAAAATGCTGCTGTAGTCTCCTATTGTGAAACTAAACCACCAATGGCCATCTTCAAGTTTTGGAGCAACTATGAAAATGCTTACAATACATAAACATTTGCTGCCACAACAATTCACAGTGCTTTTGAATTAGTTTAGTGTGCGCTAAAACCGGTCCTATTTTATTACTTTATGGCAGAAACTTCATTAACTGCTATTGTGAAACTAAGAATAAAAAAAATTGCAGACCCAAATAAGATCCACATTAACTAAGAATTAAAACACACAAATAGACTAAAATATGGAACAATAAAGAAGACAATAGAAAGTTTTGCAGCAAATATTCACAGTTTCACAATGATTTTGAATTAGTTAAGTCTGGTCTTGCTTAATTACTTTTAGGGAACTGCTATTGTGAAGCTAAACCACTAATTGTGTTGTAGATTTCCAGCACAAGATCACAGTGCAGCCATCGCCCTCCATGGACAAGAGGCGGAGTCTGGGCACCAGCTCGTCCCCCCCCAGCAGTCCCACTCTCATCCCACGGCTACGGGCCATTCAGCGTGAGTGTCACAGCCCGCCACCCGCTCACTCAGCCGCTTGTATAACTTGCTATGGCTCTGAGCTGGGTCAAGAGCATAAATTGTAACTCGGTCAAATCTTTGTGTCAACAGTGAGCACTATTTGGAATGTTTCTCCCGTGTGCTTCTCTCCAAACTTTATGGGAGCTGTAACGTTCACAGTGAAAGGGTGCCGCAGACAAAGGACTCAGAGCCACAAGCTGACAGCCAGTTGTTTGAACAGTTTGATAATGGCTTTAGTCACGCATCGACGCCCCTGCAATAACTGGAGCAAATTCCTCCGCCGCATTTTATAGACGCTCTCACATTTGACATTTAGACGAGAGGTGTGTGAAGATCAGCTATTGTTTAAAACACACAGGCACGCTTTCATATTTTTACTGTGAGAAGAAGAAACTATTTATATAACACCACAATATAAACAAGAAACTTACCTGAAAGTAAAGGTGCACTCAACCAGCTTTTTCAGTTCTGATATCGATTCCGATACTATGTAAGTATCAACCAGCCTATAGCGGCGCAGAAACTGAAAACAGTATTTATTACCTTTAAACAAAAATAAAATAAGACTACACTGATCCAATTGTGTTATGTAGCTGTTATTTATCTGTCAAGTAACTTCAGAACAGCTTTGTATAAGTAAAAGTTCAAACATTATGAGAGTTTCTGGGCGCAAGACTAAGACCAGGGAATAGTCTTATTACATCAATGTATGTCCAGCAGGATACCAGCTGAACCAGTATTTGTACACCAATATCTGTTCCAATAAATTTTCCAGTATCAGCATATAATAATAATATTTGTTACAAGTATCAGATATCTGCATCCCTACCTGAAAAAAAAACACATGACAATACTAGATACACTAGTTATAGATATATTAATTTGATACTGGAAAAAGAATCACCAAAACTGGACCTGACTATTTTTAGGATATTTTTGCAGTATTTCATGTTTGCTGAGGTAACTCCAATGTGTGCCCCTTTTAGTGACGTCCTATGTGCAGAGGGACAGTATGTATGTCTATGAACAGGAAGTTGATCTGACCAGCGAGCACTACTCAGGGGTCCACGAGAAAGGCAAGGACTGGGCTCGAACATTGTAACAGTGGTGTGGTTCTGAACAGTGCGGTGGCTAACAGCGTCAAACTCCTCCTGTATAAGATGTGTGGTGCTTTGGTACTTAACAGCTTCCCTTCACTGGGTTTTGTGTGGAAAAATATACAGTTACATTTCTGGCTTCTTTAACATTGTCACTAACAAATCAAGGGATTTGAGCTGAGGCAGGCTTCAGCAACAAAGCCATATTTTTGGTAGTGAGAACAGTCAAGCATTTCTCAATGTATAGATTAAAAAGTTAATATTAAAGCAGCACAGTTTTCATTTCATTTTTAACTGCTACAGACTCTTTATTCAACAGTTACTAAAGATGAGAGCAATCGTACATGGGGCCGCAGCTCCCTCTTCAGGCCGGAGGAGTTTGATGATGTGAAGAAGGGAATCAAAAAGAAAGGGAGAACATGGGGACCCAGTTCAGTGCAGACCAAGGAGAGGCCGAATGCAACAGAGAGGTATTGTCCAATGTCCACACACCTTTTACTGTCCACTGTTAAGTTATGGTTTACGGTGTTTTATGTTTGTGTGGTTTCAGAGTGCGGCCTCTCTCTGACGGCAGTAACCCCTGGTCCACCACTCTGGATAAGTGTCAGAAGAATGCCCCACTAGCTGCTCTTTTTGCTGAACAAGGTGAGCTGAAGACACATTTGTAAAAGGTTGTTTGATAATAAAAGAGAATGAATTTAATTAATGGTTTCCTTGTTTGTTTTTTCAGCTGGTCTCAGTAAAGATGAAATGTTTCCTTTGGACTTTTCTGACAGTAGCATCAAACCAAAGCAGCTGAAGTTCCCCAACCAGGTCTATATAGATCTACCTCTGTGGAGGGACGAGCAGCAGCCACAGAGTCCCAGTGGACAAAGTGGGTTGGGGGACAGCAGCGCAGGTTCAGTGAGTCTGAGTGGTCCCTCGGAGACTCCTGAAGACACCACCACCACGTCGACCTCCTCTGCCTCCACCACACCTCAGCATACCCCCACCAACAGTCTGAAGAGGACTGCTGCCCGCCGTAAAACTGACACAGTGCTGTATGGGTGTGGCTCTCTGTTAGCATCGGTCGTCCTAGGGTACGACCTACGGGAGGCACTTAAGAACTCTGCCCCTGCGGAGGAGTCCGAGCCACAGAAGGAAGAGAAGAAAAAGAAGGAGGGGCTTTTCCAACGCGCCACCAGGTTTCGGCGAAGCACCTCACCTCCAAACACCCGGCCCCGGAAAGACGAGGCGCCCAATCACACCACATCCACAGCCACCGCGGTCAACTTGCTTTCCATGTCAGCTATCATGGAGTGTAACTCCACCAAATGTCTTTTACAGTCTGAGGCAGAGCTCCCTCAGACTAGCCCTGTGAAGGAGGAGCCATCCGTCACCAACAGCTCCTCACAACCTCTCAAGCAAGACCCTACAGTGAACAGTCCAAGCAATAAATCCACAGTACACACAGTACATACAGCACAGCAGAACACAGCACAGAGCAGACACCCCCCAGAGGTCACCAACAACAACCCAGCAACACGCCTGCGCCGTAAGAAGTACAACAACCATATCAGTGAGTCTAACCAACACTGGCCCTTGTCCAGCTGTTGCTGCCATTTAAGAATTAAACTCTTTATGATGTGATGTGAATGTAACACCCCCCATAGTGTTGTAAATTAGTAAATAACTAATGTCACTGTATTATCTTATTTTTATCCTTGTGTAATTAATAATAATATTGGCATCTGTTAATGTTTCAGCAAATGGCCCAACCACACTACCAAACCCCATGACAGTGCAGAAGAAGCAGGAGAAGAATGGTGGGACAGATGCGCCCCCTGCAGGCGAAGGCGGGCCCAAACCTCGGCCTGTGTCTTTGAGGGCCCTGCTGAGGGGCAGTAAAAAAAGCTACTCTCTGGGCCACCTGACTGGAGATAAGGCAGCCCAGAGCTTGAGTATGGTGCTGGGCTCAGAGGTGTCTGTGGGCTGCTCTCTGCTGGACATGGACACAGAGGGACAGAAGAGAGACTGCACTGTGCCTCTCTGCCGCATTCAGAGCTCCCCCGGGAGACCCTCGCTCTTTGAACTGGAGAAAGAGTTCCTCTCATAGATGTCCCATAGGTGACCGTGGACCAGATGTGGTTTAGAGACAGGATACTGCCTTATTGTTCTTTACTGTAGAAGCAGTCATGTTGTTTCTGCTAAGTTTTCTAGTGCCTCTCCAAGTCTCAAGGAAAGTGCTCTCCCTCAGATGAGTTGTGTAAGGCCTTAGATGTGGAACAGGATTTGCTTATTTCCACCTTTGTTCACACTTCTGCCTTCACCTTTCTCTGTTCTGTTCGTGCAGCTAAACGTTGACCGCAGCTGCACCCTTTGCAACAAAAACCCTCACCTTTATATTTATATATATTTTTATAGGTAATTTAATATGAAGAAACTTGACTTTAGCAGAGTCATGTACCTATGCTTTTAGATTTTGGCTGAGAATCATGCATGTGCCCTAAAATGTTGAACACATTTTCTTCTTATTTGTACATATGTCTTACTTCTTGATTTCTTCCAATGCTGCAAGCTGTTTGTGCTGCATATGCAGTACAGTCTGTACGGGTGCCTAAACCTGGTCTTCCCAAAATGCCAGAGTTACTACTGAGTCTTTTATTCAAAACCCGGATTGGTTTTACTGGGTCACATGTTTCTAATATAGATTATGTAAAAGTATTAGAAATAGCCTTCTCTTTTTTCTACTTTATTTTTTGTATGGTCAATTTTTAAATTCTAGTCATTGAAAGATTGCACAGTCTGGGAGTGGTCATAACAGAAAAAGCAATACTGTCACAGCAGGTGTATTATGCAACAAATGCATTTCTAAAAGTATGTACATGTCTTAGTGCCTTTCAAATATGCACATCTGAGTTTACAAAACGTTTACATTGAAGTCTTGCTCTCCCAAACACATGGGTGCTGTGTAAAAAAAAAAAAAAAAAGGACAGTGTTGAAATTGTTCAGTGCCACAGGTATATTATGTCCTCTAGTTGAAGTAGGGCTCACACTGTACACAGTTCAAAATGGCCACTCCCACATACTTCCTTAAAAACAAATATAACATCTTTTCTCTGAGCTATTGACTGATGATTGCTGATTGCAAACTTAAATCACTGTTCTTCTGAAATTGTTTTTTTTGTTTGTTTGTTTGTTTGTTTTATTGTACACTTTTGGAGCATCGACTTCCAAATTGTGTATATACTGTATTATTTTCCTTGGCTGTGTATATGGTCTTTTCAGCTCATGTTGAATGTGAACTGCTGTGTATTGTATGACTGCTGTTGCAACACTGTCAAGGCCCCACTGATCAACAGGTGCAACCGTAAACGCCTGCTATGAAGTCCAGTCAGTGCGACAGTTGAGTTCGGCCCCACAAATCATGGTTATAAAAGTGTATGTTGCCATATTTGGGCGAAACGTTGATGCTAGTGACCACTGTGCCTATGACATTCCATTCAGTTTGACATAACTGTAGCAATAATGTGAGACTGTTGGCTATGGGACCAAATTACTATTCAAGACTAAGGTGTCTTTCTCCAGGACCAAAACCACTGATCCTAGCTGCTATTGGGGAGTTTTGAACTTCTCTGTCTAAAATGTAATGAACAACCCCTCATTGTGAGCATTTGTGTATCACTGGCATTACATCAGTGATCGGTTAACTTAACAGTATTGGTTACTTCACCACTGATTCAAGTATCAACATTTTAAATAAAGGCTAAATTAAGCTCAGTGTTTCTGTGTTTTTATGGACATGTGAAGATATTTTAACACACACTGCAAAGCAAGGTAAGTTAAAGGTCCACTGTGTAACTTTTCTGGTAGAGGCTCCTCCACCTTTTTGGCTCCATGGTGTTTTTTCCTGGGATGTTCTACAGCATGGCATTTAAAGGTTGTATGGAGGATTTTTTTTGTTTTGTTTCAAATTGTCAACGAAAGTTGAAAATACAGAGACACAGCAGCCTTGTAATTATGATGACCAAAAAAAAAAAAAAAAGAATGAAAATCGTTCAACTGTGGACATAGTGAGGCCAGATAAACATCAGCCAATAGATAACGAGGCTACCTCATTTTCTATTGGCTGTTAGGTTGTCAAACTCCCTACGTTTCTAGTGTAACTGATTCGCGGCGTGCGGGGATTATGTGGTTTATGCAGCGGTTCTTAGAGGCTTTTTCAAACTGTCGCTTCCTTGCAATTCGCACAAAGTTTGTTGAGATGATGGACAAGAATCCACAACCAGTTCGCCGCAAAAGAAAATCAGTTTTTGAGGTCGCTGAAAGAAGAAGAGAAGGGGAAAAGGAGCGAAGCCAAACTGAGGTGATTATTGGAGATTCTTTCCAGCGATGGCGCGACTGAAGCAGACGAAGAAAAACTGACACCGGTCACTAAATTACTTCTAGACAGGTCACTTCAACAGTAATTCTGAACACGCACTGGATGTAAACAAGCATGATTTCTGGAGTAAGGAGGCGGGAGGAGGTGTTTCTACTGAGGGAGCAGTGGAGGAGGATGCACAACATTTGAAAAAGGACTGTCACTGTGTTTCACTTCCCTAAAAATCCTCTGTACAACCTTTAAATTCACTATCTCCATGGAGACAAGGGGGCGACATCGCCAGGCCAAGGTACAGGTCAGATCTGAGAAGGGGACCTGCTCACTGTAATAATGCGTGTTTTTTGTGGTAGTTCTGAAAAATAGAAACACAGGTAATTGAATAAATACAACATATAATATATTTGTGTAATATGATACTATGGAACATCCCAGGCAAAGCAATAACATCACTATGGAGACAAGCAGACCAGAAAAGTTACACAGTGCACTGTGTGAATCACTTAAATTAAGAACATTTTACTTTATTCAACTTGTTAATTAAAATTATTTACCAATGGAATCAGTGTGTATTTTCAGATTTTAAGTATAAAAAATTCTTATTCCTTTGATAGATCATTTCATTTGTGAAATTCAAGTGAAATCTACTGAAATCATGATAAAACTTAATCATCAATCAATAAATCTTAATTCAAATTATCTTAACTTGGCTAGATTTTTTTGTTTACATCACAGCATCATATTCCAAAGTATAATGTAATAAGTACACACATCACTTGGTTAACTATCATTTATTTACTATAAGATTTATTAGTTCAATTTTTTCAAGTAGTGTAAAAAGTTTTTCAATTGCACAATATAAGATAAACACCCATCAGGCAGTGACATGTAACACAGTAGTAGTTCACTTTAGAATAATGGTTCAATTCCCACTTCTTGCTTCCTGCAATGCTGCTGTTGTGTCTCTGGGCAAGACTCCTACTTATGGCCTTGTGTGAGCGCATGTATATAATAGTATAGGAATGGTGCCTAATTGAGGTAGAAAAGTACAGTATAAATTGAACCCTTTAATAATTTTAGCTGCATCATATGTGTACTGTACATAACAGTATTGCCAGGTGATCGTGAGATTTGCCTGATCTGTGTAACATTCAATGGCAGTCTGTAAAGGTAGCATTGGTTGTTTTTTCAAGATGTAGAGGTGTTGCATTAGTCCCATGAAGTCATTCAGAGCTCGAGGTCCCTCATTTATCTTCAGTGATGGCAGGTGAGATGAAGAGGGAGGAGAGAGAGGAGCAAACGTCAGTGAGTATAACAGAGAAGAATGTATTTGCGTATGTCCGTGTCTGTTACTGATCTAAAAATAACATGGACAGACATAATTATAGCTATTGTAAAGAATCAGAACATCTTGGATTTCTCATTGAGGAGTTTCTGTGCCCCTCCCTTTCTGTGTCTCTACGCCGCAGGCTCTTAGTGGGTGACAGTGGACATTTGACTCCTCATTTTGTCATCTTTTGTTAACACAGAGGTTGGCTTTCACTGACGATACTGCCCAGAACGTCTGTTTCAAAATGATCAGAGCTACAATTTAAACATGCAAATGAAATCAGCATGCTCTTACTTTCACTACTGGAAGAACTGCTTGATTTGTTTACTTAAAGGTGCACTGTGTAACTTTCTGGGTGGAGAATCTGCTACCATGGAGAAATTTTTGACATTATGACATTAAAATTATCTATTAAACAAGCACCAAGCCAATTTACATTTACAATTTTAATTTGTGGAGAGGCTGGCCCGTTTACAGTAGAATGTATATTTTCAAGGTATTATTTTATTGTTAAAAATAGAAAAAAAAAAACAACAACACCAACAACAGAATAATAATAATTAATGAGTAAATTTAATCCCATACTGCCGTAGAGGGAAAAACTATCTGCATACAACCAGGTGCTGGATTCTTACCAGAAAAGTTACAACATAATGCACTTTTAAGTAATCCCTAAGTATCACATGAAAAAAAAATTGCTTAGAAACAATTCAATCAATAGTTGTTTTTTTTTCTAGCTGTTTTAACTTGTATATTTTTGTTTGCTCAAACTACATACATGTTCAAAATAAACCCTCGCTGTCTTCAGCAGGTCTCAGACAATAATAAAAAATACTTTTACTTTTCAGTCCTGTTCAAAAAGGTAGTGGAGAAGAAAAGCACAGATATGTCACTACATTTGAGAGCAGGCAACAGTAAAAAGTATTTAAATGTACTTAAGTAAGATACAAATAACTATATTTGTATATGTACAGTACTTTACTACTTTTACTTTGTTTCGTTTCACCACTGCTTACTTTAAGGTGATGCATTTGACCTGGCTGCGGATGCTGCTTCGGGCCTGCAGGGGGAGTATGGTCTGGGCCTGAAAACAGTACTTCGTCTTGCGTTTGACGTCCTTTAGACTGAGTTTGTGAAAGCAGCAGTTCATCTCCAATTCCTTCTATACAAAAAAGAAATACACAGGTACATTTACACAGGTGAGCTCCAAATGATTGACAGCAACATTTTCAATAGGATTTAACTGCATACAGGCATGACAAAATAGGCCTATATCATTAGAAAACACTAAAGGTTAAAATATGTTGGAGGATGTATTGTTGTTATGTTCTTGTATTGTTGTTATTCTGTGCTCTTCCCCTTTTTTTCTTCTGTTTGCGTTTGGTATCAACAGGATTATTAAAGGTCATGTAGGTTCATCTCCAAAATGTTATAGCACAGATATTGAGTTTTACTAGCCCTCACTAGTTCTCCATTCATATATGCAACTGGTGGTGTTCTATTTACTTCATTTCTCAAACAACAACAAAATTATGCATGTAAAATACATATTAAAAGTACATGGTGTGAAAGTGTCTTGTCCAAAAACACAATAACAGTATATGCAAAGTTTCTAACTCAACCACAAACCTTTGGGTAAGTGAGCAGATGTCAACTGAGCAACTGTTCTCTCTCTTGTGTTAAAGGTGCACCATATAATTTTTTGGTTGGGGGTCCGTCATTTGCTTGTTTCTATGGATATGTCATCGCTTCGCCTGGAATGTTCCACAGTCTGACATTAAACAACTCTACCTTACAATTATTCAATTACAAGTGGTTTTATAGCTCAAAAATACTTAGAAAAACAGGTACTGTGACTGTGAGTGGGGTTGTCTCTCTACAGATCTGACCTGTAATTTAGTCTCGTTTGGTCTCCATGAAGACAGAAGATAGAAATAGAAATGTTTAATACCATAATGTGAAACATTCCGGACAAAGCAATAACATCTCCACGGAGAAAAGAATTTGACAGAAGTTACACAGTGCACCTTTAATGTGTATTTTCTATTGTATTTTCTAGTGTTAATCAGTATGGTGTACCTCTTGTCCATTCTCTTTCAAGAGATAGATCTTGTAGTACAGATCGCTGTGTTTCTTTCGGACCTGTGCACGTGGGGGTTTCACACGGACCACAATGCCTTTCTGTGTGGTATTCAACCTCAGTAAAGGTGGGCTAATTTGGGCTGAAAAAAGAAGCATGCATAAATTAAGAAAATTTAAAAAATAAAAATTGAGAATGTAAAAAATTATTAATTTTAAAAAAGTATTTGCCATACAGTCCCAACGCGGGCTGAATCTGCGAGACACAGCCCAGGTTGATTCAGCAGCTGGTGAGGTCGCTTGCACTCGGGCGTAGTACCACTCGGTGATGTCAGAGGTCACTTCACTGAGGTCACACTTGGGCTTCTCGATGCCCTGGCAGTCGTCCACGTTCACCCACTGAGGTTCGCCATAGCTGCAGACATACATCAGTCAATTAGAAAACAGTATGTGATGACATAATGCGTTTGAACGAATATCCTTACATCTTCCATTGGACGTTGTATTTGAGTGAGGAGCTGTTGGAGGACGGGGTCCACGCTACTGTGGTTTTGTAGTCCACAGAGTCAAACCTCAAATGGGCAGGAGGCAGAAGTCCCTCTAAGAAATTAAAGATTATCGTCCAAATCACCGGTGTGGTTAAAAAAAGCAATAAATATATTAAACGGTCTGACACATTATAAAGAGCCACTAGTGCTACATATACTAACATTATTTTAACAATGCTGAGACAATTTTATATTCAAAAAGTCAGTTTTTTGTTTTTTTGTTTTGTTTTTGTTTTTTTTGCCATGGACTACTAGGCTACTCCTTGTGCTCCTGGTGCTACTTGTACCTAGTACTAGTTTCTTTTCCTCTCACAGAGCAACAATATCTGCCATTTTTGTTGCTTATTAAATAAAACTAATGATTTAACAAAACAAAAATAGCTCTGCAAGTGTGCTTAAAACAGGCAAAATTGTTAAAAAAAAAAAAAAAAAAAAAAAGAGTTGAAAACATACCTTCTTCAGTGAAACCCCCTCCTATGGTCCCCAGCAGCACAGCGGCCCACAGCAGAAGTAGAGCTGTCATATTTATCATGTCACACTGACACTGAACTGGAGCTCCGAGCATCACTGGTTTTTAAAGCAGCCTCTTCTATACTTCCTCTTTTTTGGACACCTTATAAGGATACAGTTCCACCTGTGTCATTTCTGAGCACCCAAAAGATACTAGCATGGCTTTTTGTGATTTTACCAGTATCACTTTTCTTAACTGGACTCAAAATACATGCCCTGTGGTCAAGTGGTTTGCGTACAACAAAGGCAGCTTTATTTATGGAGTACCTAATGACAGACTGCAGTATTTACTTACCTGTACAATGTTGTTATATAACAACTGCAAATTTAAAGAAAACATACACAATAACACACATACACAAATAGGACAAGTAGGGTGAAAGCAACCATGGCTCCTCAAAGTGTAAAATCAGGTGCTTCTCTAGGAAAAGCAAATAACAATAAAATACTAGACCAGCCTCTTACTGTAGCACAAATGGAATGTCAATATGTAAAAAATAAAGGACTTTTATATTTGTGATCAGTGTGCACTTTATTCAAGCCCTATATGACATATATTGGGTTAAGACACTAAGAGGTTGATCTTTTATTTTTAAATATTTAAAATACCTGGGCCTCAACGTGCCTTCAGGCGATGCTTCCCGGTAGGATCACTGTCCTGTTGTTTTACTAGAAGTGAGCATAGACATTTTATTGTGCAATATATGAAATGTTGCCCTCACCATGACTGGGCAATAATGAAGGTTAGGGTTAGAAGTATTAGAAGAAGGGTTAAGAAGTATTAGACCTTATTGTATATTGTATTTTAAAGTGGAGCAAACTCATAACTTTAGTATACAAGTATATAAGTATTCCCTCTTCTGTATATGTAATGTATTTTTTATAATTATTTTTCAGATATTTTGAATGTATTCATATTTAAATAGTACAACAACAAAAAAATCATTTTCAGATTATAAAAGGAAAGCATATTCTCTTTGAACATTTAATTTTGGCTTTTCAGTTTTAAAACTGGCACTTAATTTCACATCAAATGCTCCTAACAGTGGGCACATTTACACCTCCCTACAACTTATAGTTTGTCCACATCCCTATTGTGAAATCAATTAATTACTGACATTATAGATCAGGAAGCCATGGCGAGGTAGTCACTTCTATTACAATAAGCCAAAATATTTTTCTGTAGTAGGAAAAAAGGTCCTACTCCCACGCAGTACGTACAGCAAAGAGGAAGATGAACACAACCCCATGGTCACAGTTAATCAGAGGAACAACATGGAAGCCTAAAATGTCACCACACATGTGCTTCTTCTTTACTCATGTATACTGTACCCATTATATAAATGATTAAGTGAACTGAATATGAGTCTACACCTACAGTGCTATAAATGGAATGTTGAAAAGAAATACACAAATCCAGTCCCAAGTAAATAAGCAGGGCATTCATTCTTTTATACCTGAAGCAGACAAACTTTGCACATGTATTAACAATGTGAATACAGAAGAAAGAAGTAACAATAAAAAATAAAAAAAACACAATTATTCTTACTTAATGACACAGCAGAATGACAACATAGTGGATACTGATTCACAAAGATGCTAAAACCTGCAGTATTAAAATACAGAAATTAAAAAGGCAAAAACAGACAAATAAAATCATACAATTCCAAGTGCATGTTAAGATAATGGCACAAGCCCAAACATGAAGTATTGTAAGACAAGATATGTAGATTATATACACACCCAACGCAACTTCAATAACTTACAACTCCATCTCTCAGAGCACTGCTGAGAGACGTCTTGGCTCTTAGGCCTTTACAGCACCACAGGGATGAGGAATATACATCTGCTCAGATTATAGATTATGTGCAACTTTTGAGGTCCACCTCACATTGGCTTCTATAATAAACCATTAAGCCCTGTGTGGTTTGACATTTCCTGTACATAACATGGAAGCAATGTTCAACTGTGTGAGAATTAGAGCCAACATGATCATATATCACTTAGTGTAGAAATGTAGTTTTAGTTGAACTTGGGAAAAATTTCAGTGCAACAGGATTCAAAGTGCAAATTATTTACTTGGGAGTTTTAGTTTTGGGGTCTTTCCAGACACCACAACAATAGTTTACATCTATGATGTGTTCATACTGTTTAATGCATTAAGCACTTTTGATGTTAAGATTCATCTGGTAAAAATCAAAAGGCACTATTTAAATTATTTTTATACAAGGTGCTAACACAAATCAGAGCTTGCTCTCATTTAAAGTGACATTATCTTTTGAAATGTTAGGGTTTGACAGTCAGAACAAAACAAAAAAGTATAAAATTAAAACATTTGAAAATCCTATAGCCGATATCCATACTCCTTTAGCCAAAATCTGTTCCAGTAAATGGTGTATGGTTATATCTGCGTAACAATCCCACTATTACAAATGATACAAATATCATGACATTTGTTTTGGGGAATTTAAATGAATGATAGTGAATTTACATGTCATTGCATTCTCAGTCATTATTCGCTTCAGCAGTGTTGCGCGGCTCATACGGAATAGGGGCTTCCTCATCTTCATCTAAGTACTTGCCGTCTGAGTAGCCCGTGTCTAGTGGCATTACTGCTTCCTCAGACTCCAGTTGGATTTCATTGTCTTCTTCTTTTATTCCAAGACGCAGTCGTATGGTGCATTCACCTGAACTACTGTAATCTGCTGTGTCCTGGTTTGGTGTGGATGAGTAATGTAGGGGAAGAAGGGTCCAGATGTGCAGAAGAATACTCTGACTCATGTGATTTTTGTTCCGGCCGATGACCATTGCTCTTAGAAATGTTCTTTAACACAAATAAAAAATGTGATATTAGTACGTTACAAGAAGACACTAACTAATATATTATGTTATTACAATATAGAAAAGTGGAAACTACCAAAGACTGCATAAGAAGAAAACATAGTAACCCCACAGTTAAAAAGCAAACAAAACATTCATGCACGCATGTGATTTAGAGAGTATTTACACCAAAAACAAAAAACAAAAATGTAAGAGCATTTAAATTTGAACTGTGAACTTACCAGAGAGCTTGGAAGTAAAGGCATTGATTTTGTTTTCTTGACAAACACCATTAAAACAATGAGGAGACCACCAACCACCACCAGAACAATAGGTAAAATGTAGGCAAGGGCACCTAAAAGAAGTACGGAACATCAAAATAATTAGATCACGGCTCTAAAAAAATGATTATAATAATACATACAGGACAATACAAAATAAAAAATAAAGTCTCAACTGATTCCTGCAGCTTTCAGAGGCTTCGAACAGTACTTCTCTGTAGCTTGTACAGATATTTTCTTCATCTCTCCACTCATGATCAAACAATAGATTTTCTCACTGTCATGCACTGGGAGCTTGTCCTGACATACACTCTCTGAGCAGCTGTGTTTATGTGACTCAGTCTACAAGAGGCATAAAACGTTCAATTAGAAATAATTAAAACAATTTCAATGAAAAAGTGCAAATACTGACCTGGTTAATGATGTGAATATCGTAGTGAAAGATGGGCAGGCGCATCTGGGAGTCTAGGCTTTTCTTCTTCTTGGATTTGTGACCAGGGGAATATAGAACTGCTGGGTGTGTGAAGCTCAAGTGAAGGTGTTTGTCCTCTCTGGTTACACTGACAAAGGGAAAGTCCACTTTACCTGTCGGCCAGAAGCAAAAGAACATCTGTTTACTAAGTCAAGGAAATAACCAGGAGACACAGATTTAAGGAAGGGAGTAGTAGTGTGGCATTGGCTTATGCTTTTCTCTTTACTCACATCACCATTTTTTTTAAGTCACTCCTCACTCAAAAAACACCATTCCCAATTACAACAAACAAATGCACTAATCCAAGCACAGTGCTGTCTCTTTACCAAGGACACGACTATAAGAAGAAGCAATATTTTAATGACTGTGTTCCATCTACTGCAATATAGCACGGAGAAACTCAAAAACTATACTATACTATATCTCAGCATAAATGAGTACACCCCATTTGAAAAGTAACATTTTATACAATATGTTAATGAACACAGCCAGCCATCTCAGTTTAGAAAAGTGCAGTATTAGGAACAGCAAAGAGACTGAGCAGAACACCCAGGCCTCTGGTAGAGGACCCAGGCTAGATGAGGGGGAGAGACCAACCACCGTGGAAGGTGAACTTTTTTTTTTTTTTACATATAAAATCACCCCGCATTTGGGTTACAACAATACAATACTTATATCTTCTTTCTCATTCAAAGTAGAGATACAGGTGTAGTTTTATATACTCAATAACTATTAACACTGTTGTCTCTGATACAAGCCTTCTTTGTCACACAGCCGCACATTTTACTGTTCTTTGTTTACAAAAGACATTCTTATGCAATTAACATGAATACACTTTACTAAAGTTTCAAGAGATCCAAAAGTTAAAGAATTAAATTTTTCTAGCTTACATATCATTGGTGATACGGCGTCTTTGTAATAGCTGTACTCAATCCCATCCTCAGGTACTTCTTCAGATTTTTCACTGCCGTTCACAGCAGACACCCACACTGCATAGTCTCTGTCTGGGTCTGAATACTTGGACAGGTCAATGGATGTAGCTGATGTGCTCAGTGACTCAGGTTCACTAAAAGAAAAGAAAAATATTTTATAAGTTGACGTTTATTAAAACGAAATCATGATTAGGAATTTCAACTGACCTATTAATTGACCTCACAGTCACTGTAAACGTTATACCATCAGACAGCTGGTCATACGTCCACTGTAGAGTGTTTTGCATGTTATGGCAATCCAGTGTCACATTAGTTGGAGAAGGCACTGTAGAAAAGGACAATGAATTTTAATGTAATGTACTAATGTAATGTTACCTGAACTACACTAGAGGGAGCCAAACAAATAAAAGTTATGCTTATATATATATATATATATATATATATATATATATATTTCATTTGAGATTTTAAGTGTCCATTTAGCTATTTACATGAGTATAAGCACATCCATATATATCACACATTATATACATATATATATATATATATATATATATATACACACACACACCTACACATACATATATACACATATGCATACACATACACATTATCTATGTTCATTTACCTTATGTTCATAACAATACCCCTTATTTATATACATGTGTTATGCATTTTACTTAACAGTTAATAAATTATGGGTGCCCAAAGTATGGCTTAAGGGGAAAATGCCGTCCTCTTACCAACTGTTAATTTTTTAAATTTTTGTTTATTTGAAAGGGACTTTGGACAATAAATGTATTGCATACACCAGATTTAGCTACAAGTTCAGTTTCATGTATAGTCCCTGGGCAGAAGCACAGTGACAGTAGGTAACAGTGTACAGGTACTGTATACGGCCCATGTAACAAGTACATCTTAAAAAAAAAAGCCACTGTTGTTGGCCCTCAAGCCTCCTACTGAAAATAAATCACATTTGTGAATTCACTCTTTGATTAATCCTTGTGAAAATACAATGCAATCAAGGGGGAAATCTGTCTCTTCCCATCAGGGAGATGACACCACATTTTAGAATCTAAAAACCACCAGTAGGCCTAAATGATCATATGCAGATGTACTGCAAATGTAAGTAATTCTACCACTATAAACTCAATTACCTCACATTATATTATGATACAGACCTAAAATGAATGTCCCAGGGCTTATTATGAAAGAGTGCTTTTGTGATAATTAATTAATCTCAATGACTCACTGTATTGTGATCCTCCTTTAGCTTCACCTTAATATGTGGTCAGCATACATAAAATGTTATTTTTCTTAATTCCAAAAATGAATCCAAATGTGTGACAGAGATCATTTAATAATTGGCTTGGTTTTGCTTCAGGAAACTGAAAAGGATTTCAGCCACTGCAGAATCAGCTGCCTGACCAGCCCTGCTGACCAGCAAAGGTCTGAAATCTGGGGCTGCAGTGTAGTGCCACTTCCTTGGAAAAAGCTCTAAAAACCATTACGTAGCTCTGTATCTGGCCTGAACTGCACACAGAAGACTTCAAATGCAAAGGAGTATTGTTTGCAACCAGCAGAGATGATATGGAATAGTGTTTTTCTGGCCCTTTGGTGGATTCTCTGGAAAACGCCAGTCCAGGAGCTTTTTTTTGTGTTTGTATTTCCACTTTTTAAAGACAGTGAGTTATCCCTAGCTAGATCTCAAGAGTAAAGTATGTTCAATATGTTGAGTCAATTGTTGTAATACTTTTGCTGCACAAGATTAATAGAGAAGATTTTGTAAGCTTTACATGATTTGCACAAATGAGATGAGATTTGCACTCATGAATACATTAGCTTAGCCACATAGCTAGGTATGAGAAACGAAAGAATCTCAGGGATAAATTGTTTTCTGAACGATATCAACAGATAGGGCTGGGTATCATTAAGTAGTCACCAATACCATACATACCTCGATACATAGACGACAATACGATACATATCTCGATACAGTGAGCTTTTGATTTCGATAGGATACATTTCAAATCGATTAGATACGGTTCAATAAAAATTAAAGGCTAAATCATGGCTGTGATACACAAAGTCTTTGTTAAACCACTTCTTGTGCTAGGTTAATATAAAACACAAACATTTTAATCCTCAAAACAGTGAAAATGTCAAATGTGTTGCATAAATGAGTTTCCTTCCTTTAAACAAACAACAAAACTGTTGCGCTCTAAGAAAAAAAATTAGTTAAATATACCAAAAAATACTCTTGGCAACATATTGATACAGCAGCCCATGATATCGATACCGTACCATCACATTAAATAATACGATATATCAATATTTAGATATTTTTGCACACCCCTATCAATGACAGAATACTTTTTAATTTGTTTGTGTTGGTTTTAATTGCAAATGAGGAATTCCCCACACCCGAGTCAGTACTGAGTCATAACACTCTTTCATTTTCGAAAATATGGAGCCGATAAATGACCTTAAATATAGTGAGGCATACACACGTGAAGAGACACTGAAAGAAAAAAAATCACTGAGATGTGGGTGTTAAAACCACTAGTGAGTAAGTGGGGGCTGTGGTTTACACAAGTCACATGACAAACCACAACATTAGTTTTCAAAGGATGCTCAAATTAGACCTTTGAAAATAATGTTGCCTCAAAAAGCATAACTACTGCACTATTGATTTCTTGCTCATCTATATCAGACAATAGAGGTAGGAAATTATGACATAGAATTACCCGGACATGTTTCAATGGTCAAGCCAATACACCATTTCTTACCTCTATTGTCTGATACAGATGAACAACTGTATTATTGCATATTATTGGCCAAGATTGTTATTGCTTAACTAATTTGCTAAGCAGTGTAGTAGTTATAGGCAAAACACTGTTCTGCACTTTTTAAAGAGTCCCAGTAAGTATATTATTATTAAAACCATCTAAAGTAAAAATAAGAAATGAAGGACCAATTATAAAACTGCTGACCAGGTCAATACTACAGCTATGTTAGACAAGCACTGGGGGGTATTTTGGGTGAGTCAACTGATATCATTATAATGTTTTGACTTGCGATTAATAATAGAAAACTGCTAGAGAACGAAAGAAAAAAATCGGTGCCCACATGGATAGTCCCTTTGTAGTGACATTGCGTACGATTTATTATGACTTTTGCTTTGACTACTAGTAAATCTTGTCTTACATATGTCTCTAATATATTGCTGATTCATGGGAAGTATACTTGCCTATAGTACTCCAGACAAAAAACATCTGACCGGCATAAATACTCAAAGCTGCGAAATAGATGTAAGCCTAAAAACATAAAGTTTATATACAAAAGGTACTCAACGTGTATGGCACTGAAATATGTGAGAAGCAGGCCTTCCAATTCTAAGCAGTCTTCAGTAACTTATAAATCCCAGAACCTATTGTCATGAAAAGTTAAACAGGAATTGATTACACTACTCAAAGGGCCTGGGCTGTACACAGAAATCCGAAAAGAGGAACTATGAAGTGCAAAAAGAACAAATGAGACGTTTCAAAGACTCTATGAAAGTTCAAATAAATAGTTAATGCGCAATATCAACATTATCTGTTGGACTTGTACGTACATTCTGTGGACTCTCAAGCTATTCAGCAAAACATTAGCAGGTCTACCGCATGCTACTTGGGAAGCGGCTAGCAAGATATTAGCAAGGGGCAATGCTTCCTAGTGGCTCAATATTGTCTCTTTAAATCTAACAGATGAGGTTAAACTTGGCGTTTTGGTGCCTTTATAACGAAATGCGAATGCAGCTTAGCTTTACCAAAATTCTGGAGGATACTTACGCTTGGCTCCTACCACATGTATCCAAAAACAGAACAGGATAAGGAAGGTGGGAATTGCGCTGTCCATGTTCGCGTGGCTAGCTCGTATATTAGTTACGTCTACAACCTGAAACACAAGCAGCCTTCTTCTCGTTGAATCATTGTTGGCTTATAGACCGCAGAAACCTGACTCGAAAGGACAAATAAAAAAATATGGGACTCAACAAAGGTGCGTAGACAGAGAGAGATTAGCTATAATAATCAGCCCCACTGCCCAAGAGCGTCAGACAATGGCTACGCCCCTCTGCGTCTCCTTACGTTCATCCACTCCACAGTCTGTGTTCCACACTGTTCATGTAAAATGCTCAAAAACCAAATACTGTCGACAAAACTATCAATAATGTGTGAGTACGGTCTAATTGGTGAGTTTTTATTTTACTTTTTCTTTATTTTACTTCTTTTCTTCTTCTTCTTTTTTTTTTTTTTTTTTTTTTTTTTGCTAGAACACGTGACTATGGCAGCTGTGAGGGACCTGTAATCTACGGGGAATTTTTGGTCTTCCCTTGAGCAATATGATACAGTAAAACACATTATTTACCGCTAGTTTAGACCCAGAACAGTACTATTTTAGACCTTTTGAGACTCAGAAAACCAAACAGGTTTGAGAAGCACTAGTCTAGGCGACGAGGCCAGGCTTATAGGTTTAGGGCTGATGAATAATTAAAGGGCCCATATTATGCTCTTTTAAAATCTATGTCATAATGTTTCCTCATCAAAAATATTATACCCTCACCCTTGAATTGTCTTTTGTTTCATTCCAACATGAATGATACACAAATCTTATGTTTCACCTTGTCAGGTCATGTGGTAACACGTCTACAGGAAGTGCTCCACTATATTTTTAAACTCCATACACCTTCACTATAATCATTTGGATAATTTCAGCCCCACTGAACTAAAAGTAAAGCCAAAAGTACTTGTAAACTTGAAAACTACAGGTTTCTGACATCACAAGGTGGAACTGAGCTACAGAATAATAGACTAATAAAGGGATACTCAAACGTGTATGAAACTTAACACATCTCCAGCTATCTTTTTGGTGAGGCTACAACACTGTATCATGGCTAAAAGCTCACAAGAGTACATTTCTGCATGATATAGGACCTTTAAGGCTGTGCGGTTCAACAGTTTAGAAAGGTCTAATGTGAACTAATCTGATAATGCTAATTGTGATTTTTTTTTTTTATTAAAACAAATCAAACAATTCATATCTGTATATGCATTTTGCATGAACAGGCCCTAAAGATTAGATTTATAGATTTATTAAAATAGATTAAAATGTCACACTCACCTGAAGCCCTTAAGGATTTGTAGTTCTTAGGCAGAGGAATGATGACAAACACCAAGCTTATCTGCACAACCTTTAGAGATGCAGCGTACCAACACCAAGATTTGGTTTGCACTTAAGATACAGATGTAACTTCAACTTCTGAACACACACACACACACACATATATATATATATATAAACAGATAGATAGATATAGATATATATAGATAGAGAGAGAGAGAGAGAGAGAGAATTTAAAGGTATAGGCTACTATTTATACTTTGCAGTTGTCATTATTTATTTTATTCAGTATTATTTATTTTATTTATGCATAAGCTTGTACATTATCATCATGAAAAGCAGAACTGTGTTTATTAGAATTAGTCTTCTCAGGCCTTGGCCCCACTGTGAAAGTGAAGTGTTCTCTTCATTTACAGCTTCCTCTGGTGGATTCTTTCCCAGAGTCTGACGTCATCTCCATGTGTGCTGCTTTTTCTTCCCCATCTGAGCCGAAAGTGAGTCACTCACATCTGAGCTCCAACTGCAGCACACTAAGGTAGGTTTTACACAACTATTCTACTTAAACTATACTTTGTGAGCATTTACTCTCATGTAAAGGACAACAAACTTTGTTTTCCCTTTATGGACTGTGTTTTCAATGAGTAGTACTACAGCTGCCCGTTGCTCATACTGATTTGCATTCCTGTCCATGTTATGTAACATTTTTGTCAGAAATGAAAAAAGTATACAGTTATTTCTAAAGAGAACCTCATTTTAGTTTTCATTATCATCAGTTGTTCCTTTTTACTTCTAAATGTTGTAAAATGCAACAAATATGGTCATTATGAATGCAAAATTTATGGACAGCAACATAAAAAACATACCTCATTTGTTAAAAGTCTGAGGATTCATTTGAATTGACTATGTGTAATGACTCATGTTTTTATAATTTTTACCAAAACAAAACTTTACATAAATTAATTTATAAAGTTTTCTACAAATAACCAAACCAATTAAAGACATATGTTGAAATAAGTCCAGACAAAGAAAAAGTATGAAACACGATTGGCCAATTATTCATAAACAGAAACCTAGAACTTTGGAAAGCCACCATTTGAAAACAATGTCTTCCGAGAAAATGTTTTCGTTGGAGCTTTGGTCTGGGTTGTTATAATTGTATGTGGGCGGTGATGCTTTTGTACAGCTAAAAGAATCATGTTTAAAATTACAGATCTCATTATGGAACAATTTTGCATCTCACATCTTTTACAGTTTGACTCTTTTATAGCTGTAGTTCGATTAGGGGACAGCTATGCGCTATTTACTTTTCTATTATGTGCAATCCAAGTCTTACTTTTTGGCACAAGCCCCGGTGTGTGTGAGTTCAGTGTCCACTTCAACAAGAGCTCTTGCCATGTCCGTGACTGCAGTCTGGAGGAACACACCCAGGTCAAGCTAACTGTGTGCGCCCTCAAAGACTGATCGAAGCCAGCTGTCAGTATGTCCACTTCTTTCTCTTCACATCTTGGCAATGAAATAACTCACGGATAAGAACGACCTCACAGCTTTTCACTCGAGACAGAGTGCGTGCAACAGGAATATCACCTTGTAAAAAAGAAAAAGCAATACACATGTGAGTCTGTATGAGTGAGTAACATGGTTGTTAAGCATAAGATGTTATTTTATGCAACATTTGAGTTTAAAGGTGCATTGAGTAACTTTACTGGTGGAGGGTCCATCAAATGATTTTCTTCATGGAGATGCTATTGCTTTGTCTAGAATGTTTCACAGTATGGCATTAAACCTTTCTATCATCATGGAGACCAAACCAGAACAAGTTACAGAACAGATCTGTGGAGAGGCACCCCTATTCACAGTCAGAATGCCTGTTTTACTAGGTATTTTTGAGAAATAAAACCACCTGTAAAGCAGAGCTGTTTAATGTCATACTGTGGAGCATTCCAGGCAGAGAAGTTACATATCCATAGATACAAGCAAATGATGGACCCCCAACCAAAAAGTTACACAGTGCAAATTTAATATATGAGATGTGACACAATATTTATGTTTTTTAGCTTCCATTCAAAGGCAAGAAAAAGAAGAATGAAAGTAACCAAGCTTGATAACACTAAAATTTAGCTTTTTTTTTTTTTTTTTTTAACTTTCACACTTTTCTTCTACTTCTGTTTTCAAGTATGTGGGGACATATACTTGAAAACAGAAGTCAAACTGCATTAGCGTCTTTTTAAACACCATCAGGGCATATCTGTTGGTGACTTCAGTGAAGTGCTTAGCTAAAGTTATTGTGTAGTGGTATTTTGGTTACGGACCAAAACACCACTACACAAACTCCACCAACAAAAGCCTTACGCAATCTGGTAATCATGAACAGGACTTCAGTCCTTGGGTTTTAAAATGATGACGCGAGTAACAGCTTTGGCACTGTGACAAACTGTTTTTAAACAGTCCATTATGGTTTTGTTTTGCAGACATCATGGTGTGAGACACTCTTCAGCAGTGATGGCTGCTCTCAGCCCACCTGCCTGTCTGTGGTGTGCCCTGCTTTCAGTGGCAGTGTCCCTGGACCTGCGCGTGGCCTATGTTACTCACAGTGGTCTGTACTATTACTCCTGCTTGCATGAGCCTCCTCCCTGCAGCCAGGCCACGCTCTCAGACTGTAGTTGTGAGGACCTGCAACTGTCCTCCCCTGCCCTTCAGGTTACACGTCTCACAGTTTGGTACACTTCAGCTGCCAGCACGGCACGACTTCTCAACAACTCAGTGGTGAGAAATCTGACTCTTATTCGCTGTGGAGCAGGTGGGCCCAGAGGAGCCGCCCCTCAAGACACTCTGAGCCAAGACAGATACTTTGCAGTGCAGCAGTTAGAGTGGCTGAGTGTGGTAAATCTACAGAGGAAACCCATTCTGGAAGAAGCCCGAAACACAGGACCAGAGATTGAGAATGGAGCAGACCTGAGCACTTTTGTCAACAACAGGGTCACAGACACACACCAGGACTTAAACACAGAGGCAAAAAAAGAGTTCTTCGATTTACTTCCTCCACAAAGCCAGGACCTCTTCCTTGGAAGGGAGATGGGTGCTCCGTTCTATGAGCAGGTCAGACTGGGAGTCATCTACAGCTCAGTGCTGGATTCTGGGGCAGAGCTCAAAGCCTACACTGTGCAGACGCACATCGGCAGTGATGGGCTGCTGCCTTTCCCTGAACTCCACCTGCCCCACCTCGAGGAGACCTCCACCATATATGTCAGCTTTGTGTACTGACGCTAATTGCTACTCAACGCAAAAATACCCTGTTCCTCACTCCCAAAAAACATTTGCACAAGAACATTTGGCATTGTTTTAACTGTACATTTACCATTTGACAGTTTGTGTTTTGTGGTGTGATCCAAATGCCTTGAAATAGAACCTGAAAGTGTTTTATGTGTTGTCTACTTTGGCAGCCTGCCAATATTCCAGCGACTTATTTATATTTCCTCAAGAGGCATATCGTGTTCATTTGCACAATAGTAAATTATCTGCCCATAAAAGAGGTGGTTCAAAGAAACATAAAAACAATGCTAATAATATAGGCTATATATATATTCCACATATGTCAGTGTTCCTTACTATAAACTATAGTTTACATCTCTCCCCAAATGATTAAAATGCAAAAAAAAAAAGGACAACAGAAAGATTGTTTACAGGAAACAAAACTTCCTTATGTCCACCACAAGATGGCAGCAGATGCAATTTGATAAGCGGTACATTTAGATAGGCCTATCCCAAACGACCTCTAACAGCTGCAGAAAAGAGCCCTCGTATGTTGATGTTTTATTTTTATAAAGCGTGCAATTTAAAGGTTAGGTTACTGTTCAGGTTCCATGTTGGGTTTACGAAGCTTAATTTATTTACAGGTAAAATACAAAAGGTGTATCAAGAAAATAAACTGCATTATTTCACTTTTTCATGCTTTTTATTGTGCAAACAAATATATTAATTAAAGATAAGTTGTTGTTGTTGTTTTACTGTAGCCTAAACAGTATTCAGCCACTTTCCGCTGCTGGTTCATGATTATTGATGAGCAATTTTACATTATTTTACATAACGGTTAATTTTATTCTTGGATAATCGTTGTTTCAAGACGGACGCAGCTTTCGCCCTCTTGAAGCAGCCGCACCTGCAGAGGCTGGTGAGCGCACTGAATAGCGCTAATGGCGCCTGTTGATCCTGCACCTGAGAGGTCAGTCACGTGCGCTGGAGGACGCGGCACATTCTTTCAATTAAGACATCGAATTGTATTGAGCCCAAGGCCAAGGCGATGCCTAGTTTGACACTTAGTTATGGTGCAGTTATTCTGGGCCTAGGGCATCATGGTCGAGGCCTACTCCGTGAAGCGTTTTGAGCGTGAAGGCGCACATCACCAAATCAGAAGAAAATGTTACCGCCCCCGTCCCTCAGAGCGTCGTTCTTGAACCACCCTGCCGCCGTCTACTGCGCGCCAGTTAAGCCCTAAAACATTTTTATAATCAGGCGTTATTGTTCGCTGTCTCCTTGTGGGAGATGCGCCCATGTTCATTTTTAAAAGGGCAAATCAGCCATAATTCAGTTTATAAACTGCGGCTCGCGGGGGAGAAATGTCTGGATGAATATTCATTAGAAGTGGCAGCCCAGTGATTCATTAGGCATATGTAAATATCACTCACTTTAATTGCCCCTAAACTGACTCAACATAATGTTGTCATTAGCAAATTATTACTTATTTGTGATACTAATGGTACGGTATGGCGCACCGACTGCGGGGCTACATATACGATTGTAATTGCAGCTCTTTTTATTCACGGGGCGTCTGCGAGATCTGATGGATCTTTCACGCACACGCACGTGTACGGCCATCTATTTCTTGCTGTGGGACATACTGTACTGAGTTAATGGGCCATTTATGGAGCTAAGTTCCTATTCAGAGAGGGCCAGACAGACTAAAGATAATATGAAACTTTAAAGATAAACGTTCTAATTTAATAAAAGATGAGTCAAACTAAATGTGTGCTCAGTCATGTGAAATACCGTGACGGTTCAGTCAGACTAATAGCAATGTATAGGGCTTGTTTTGTCTTACAGAGGTTTATTTGACTCTGCAATAAATGCCCCACAGTTTGTCGCAAGTAGCTTTTATTAGTGGCGTTTACTTGTGTCCCATGCCTCACCTCCTGCACTGAGACTGTCACATCTTCAGAACAAACGACAGTTTAAAAAAGTCCCAGGCTTACTGTCACTGAGTGCAAAAAAAGGACTGTTTGGAGCAGTTTTATAGAGGCAGCAGCAGTTTGAAATAGCCACCATGACAAAACAGGCCACAAACCAGAGCAGGGAGACTCATGGCGGAGGGAGGGCTGCTAATGAATGTGTGTGTGTAGGGGAGCTAATAAAGAACTGTGATGGATGATGTCCCTTCTCCCAGAGGGACCAGTACCATGTAAATTGGCCCACACAATGCATTATGGATAAGGCAGTTGAGATTATAGCTTGTTAATGTGTCCTCCCCTCTCCCCCCCTCCTCTTACATCCCCTCTGCTTAGGCTCAGGCACTGACATGGTCACCTCATGGTCGGCCGCGAGGGTCTTTTAGGTGCAGATGGAGCAGGAGAGGAGCGGGCGGCACAGATCTGGCAGGCTTCAACCACCAACTTTGTGAATGTGTATAATTCATTACTGTGCAGGGGACATAAATCAGCCCAGCCACATCATGGGAACTCAGCTCCCATTTGTAAAGCACAGAGATGTGTAGTTACAAGGGGAAAGGATTATGTGGAGGAGGGTACGCAGGAACACATAAAACTCAATTACAAATGACTGACAGCTTCATAGTTCTTTAGAATAAACTTTCCTTGTCAATGAATGTAATTGATCAACTTGTGGATAGCAGTTTTGCAGTCTGTCAAAATGCGCCCTCTTACCACTGGGTACTCAGGCCAAATCACACCAGAGTGGATCACTATGCAGTGATGCCCCGCATGAAAGAGAAATCAGGTGAAATAATATTTTTTTTAAAAGAAAGACAAGAAAGACACAACTGTGGAACTTCATTAACAATCTTTGCATTTGGCACACCTTCCTGGCTTATATAATTGTATAATCTTTCAGATAACAGACGGAGCATGTTTTAGGGATGATGGTTAAAACCCTGCTGTCCTAGTACTAGTTTTAGCCCAGTTTGTGTCCAAATGTAAACTGGTCCCATTCCAGTCCTGGTTTAGTCCTGGTCTAGTCCAAATTTGGTTCCAAATTTAGTCGCAATTTAAATATGGTGATTGATTTTTAAAGTGAAAACACCCTTAATTAGTGGCTATGTCTGACTGTGGCTGTGGGATGATGTTGCTTCAGACCATAAATGTGGAGTAAAATAATAACGGGCATAAGTTTAAAGCACTTGTGATGTATAGAAAAGAGTCATGGCTCATCATTATTTCCTGCCTGTAAATGTTGTGGTTTAGTTTCACAAAGCCTACGCCAAAAAGTTAAGTTAACCACGAAGTGTAGAAAAAATCAATCATTTTATGACCTAACTTAGACAATTACAAAGGTGGTGATATAGCTGATACTGAAATTCATCCCCCCAAAAAACTATTGCAATCTACATAAAATGCAGTGTGCAAAATGTGTATGATGTCCTTACTGTGTTGTGTGATCTGTTTTATAACCAGGGCCTGTGGACATATGTACCCTAAAGATGTCAACTGTGGTGCAAGCGGATTAGTCTCATTACTCTAAGATATTTCATTCAACTCATTTACATAGGAACTGGAAACTTTCAAGTTTTTTTTTTTTTTTTTTACATGTATAAGAAATGAAATGTTTTGTCTAACTCTAAATTCCTCCACTTTGTCCATATCTGCTCCCGTCATGTTAATTTGACTGAAGTGTACACACAGTCCCTATACAAAGATTAAATGCAAAAAGATCATAACAAAGTTATGGTTAGAATAAATACAGCATTTTAAGTTAGTGGTAACTATGCAATCCCTAACTTTTCCTTTTTACTTGGGAGGCCAGTTTTCAAAATGACATGACCCTGAAATTTTAATGATGGACTATAAATCTTTTCTGGTGTAGAAGCTGTCGCCTGCTTGTCTCCCTGGAGATCTAATTGCTTCATCTGAAATGTTCCACAGTATGGCATTAGTCTTACCTACATGACTTAAATTCAATGATATGAAAAAACATGCACAGTTACACTGCACAGGGTCACCTCTCCACAGATCTTACATATAACTTGGACAGGTGGTGTCACTTGCTTGTTTCAATGGAGAAAGATAAGTTTAATGCCATATTGTGGAACATTCTAGGTAAAGCAATTTCAGAAAAAACAAGCAGGGGACAAACTCTTCACTAGGACCACCTTTAAATGACATTTTATCTCTGCCTTATGAAAATGTATTTAAATCAAGATAAATACATTTTAAAGTCCTATTTTACATCACATCATCATCATACTATGTTAGTCAATGTTGTTACCTCATCAGAAAAATACAATGAGTTGTGTTTTATTTCATTAACACATGTTGAGTAATCATTTTTTATTAATCTGTCTGTATTTCCATAACTTAAAATGCTCTATTCCACCTTGTGATGTCACCTTGTCATGTAGCAGTAGTTTTTAAGTTACCAGCTCCTTTTTGCCTTTTGTTCAGTAGATACTGACAATTCTAGGGCTGAAATGATCCAGATAATTATATTATTTGTATGGTAAGTGTTTTTAGTTTGAGAGATGAAGTCAGCCTAAATATGTCGGGTTTGTGTGTTAAACGTGTGAATGAAACAAAACACAACTCCAGGTATGTTTTTTGATGAGGAAACAACATTATATACAGAAGAAAGCATAATGCAGGCCCATTAATTCAAGCTACTTTAACTTATTTAAGATATTTTTGGCAAGTCGCTTAACTCCATCCAAACACAGCAGCAGACGCGTAGGCCTATGTGCGCCATCCCGCCCTGACCCGCCTATTCTACCCTCACCAGCGTTCATCCACCGTCTCTTATGGAAGTGCTGTTAAGGCCAAATCAGGCTAATAATGTAGGTCTGGACAATGCTGCTCTATCCAGCTGACCACGACCCCTTACAAAGTACACTAAGCCCAGATGAGGCGCGCTGTGTTTTGGTGTGTGCCTTTGGCCAGACCCTCCAGGGCTCCAGTTTGTGGGTGGTGGCCTAGGCCTATTAGAACGGGTCAGCTCTCTCTCATGGACTGTTTTCACGGCTGTGGAGCGGATTAGGAGCAGCCAGAGAGAGGGAGACTAAGATTATGGAGAGCATGGAGAGAGGACGCAGAGGCGAGGAGAAAGACAGCGTTACAGCAAACACTTGGACATTTTGGAGAAGAGTGGGGAGTGGTCAGTGGAGTATGTGTACACTGAGAATAAACAGACAAATGAACGTATAGTCACATATAGTTTAAAGTACTACAGATGAAGGAGTGGAGTAAGATTAGGGAATTGAAATGATGAGGATAATGATCACCATGGGAGTCAGAGGAGATCCCCTTTACAGTACCATACATAAAGTATCAGAAAAACATAGTAACAAATTACTATTACACATTATCTGTTATAAAGTCTGAATCACATATTTTCTAATAGCCGGATCAATTCAGACAAGTGGTTCGATCACAGCAATTCAACTGTCAACAAAGTCTTTGGTCAACGTCTTGAAAAAGTAGCATTTGTTTGGTGAAATACAAATAGGTCATTCACACATGCTCTTATTTGTTCTATAAATGTTCATGATTAAATTAAACTTTCAATGTGGTGAAGGATGCTGATAAAGACATACTGCCATTGTGTCCTTGGGCAAAACAATTGTCTGACTTGCCTCTTTGAGCACACTGGCATATGATTAAATATTTCTATGAAATCCTTGTGTTGGTTTTATTTACAATGAACAGAAATGTTTAACTTATAACTAGAGTAAAAAGTTCGGGAGGTTAATGCTAAACACAACGCAATAACT